TTTTTGTTTTATAAATCTGATTCCCATCTAATAGAGGTCAACTCAGGCATCCAGCTAAGGGGCAATTGCTAAAATTTCAGAACACAACTAAGCGTCCCTCATCCTGAACACTTGAGTTTTGAATTGTCCTAAAGCATTCACAACACCCAGTTATTGGGATTATTAGTGTTGAGGAACCTTATTCCTCCAGTTTCAAGTTAAACAATACATCAAACATCAGAACAAGCATAAGCACTGAATACTTCTAAAATGCAGACCTAGTAATTGGAAAACAAAACAAACAAAAAACAACAACAACAAAAATTATTTAAATGCATTTTACATTTAAGAAAAGGGAACACAGTAGAAGTTCAAAGCACTTGCTTTAGTATACTCTGAGAAAACTGCTGGCATTAACCAACACTTCCATAATTAACTAGCACCCAGCCAGAGAGCTTAGTAAGCACCCGTATTTGGAGATTGCTTTAGACTTTTTCTGAAGTACCTTATGCAGATCACATAAATATCAGAATCTAAAAGTCAGTTGAATTTTAATGTATGAAGCAAGGATCATAGAGTATTTCAGGGAAAATACATCTGGACCACAGCAGTCTTAACTAACTCCCTGTTACCAAAGGAATAATATAGGCATTTCTTTTGCATAGCTTTCTATCCATATAGCTAAAAGACAAGACAAATACATTAAAAAGCACTAATTTTTTTCTGACTGTAGAATCCATTCCAGAAGGTGTTTTTTGTTATTGCTATTACTAGAAACAAAATTTGCAGATAATTATAAGCCTTCATTCTCTCAAAAGGGCAGCGAAATGAAACAATCAGAAATTTGAAGAAATGAGAGCATGCTAAAATAATGCTTAAGTTCCCCATGTTCATGATATCTAAACAAAGCAAAAACACCACAAACTACAGCACCAGGTTGAAGGCCTTCCTTTTAGAAAGATAAGTCAAACAGATGAAAGTCACAGCAGCTTGGCAATTCCATCTAAATGAAATCTACTGCAAAGCATTTCAAACAGCTGAAGAATAAAGGCATACAAGCTCCAAATTCCAACTAATATAGATGCTGCTATGAAGTACAGGTAGATCAGTCCCCACATTTGAGTCCTTAAGCCCTTATCACGATGGCAGTATTAGATGATGCCACTACGGTAATTTGGAAACTTCTCTCCAGCAGTGTACAGACACACAAAAATCAATCAGAGTTAAGCCACTGAATATCTGCAATATCTGGTGTACGGAATTCAAGGCATGGACAGGTCTGCACCAGAGGTAAACTTCTGTGATTATAGGACACAGGACACAAAGCCCATTTCTTACACTGATTTCTGTGCATATTGCACCTGGTTTGCAAATCCATGGAAATGAATCAGTGATGGAGAACCAAGAACCCTCTGGTCTCGAGATACAGAATAAACTTGAGTAAAGGTACTAATAATACCAATATTGCATATACCACCTCTTCTTTCAACAGGATCATATGGGATAACCAAAAAAAGAAAAGCAGTTATTTTACCATAGTGAGAGTTTATCATTTAAACGAACAAACACAGTAACTTTAAGCACTTTGCTGGTAACAAAATCACGTACACATCACTATGCAGCGATAAGAATCACTCAGAAACATCATGAAACTCTCAAACCTAATCGCACCCCAAATAACGTTTTACCCACTCATTCCATACAGAATAACAGCAGCAGCGAGGAGCTCTGCGATAAAACCAAGGCATCTTTCCATGGATAACAACAAGGGTTCCGTTGGGGGCAGCCCGCCCGCTGACGGACCCGGCCCTCTCCGGCCGCGGCGGGCCACGGTTACCTGGGGGGCTCCCAGGCCGGCGCCAAGCAGCAGGGCAGTGGGCGCAAAGGCGGAGAGCGGGCGGACGGATCCGCTTCCTGAGGAGCCGAGAGGGGCAGCAGCACCAGCAGCCCGAGGCGCGATCAGCCGCAGAGCCGAGCCGTACGACGGCCACTTCAGACGCCGGCACCGCCCAGCGCCACCTTCTCAGAGCGAGGAGGCGGGGTGCGTCATGAGGGGGCAGCTCACAGCCAACCGGTGCCTGGCGGGTGATGAAACTCCGCTCCCCTCCGCCGGTGACGACCAATAGCGCGCCCGGGAGGAGCGCGGCCGGAGCTCTTCCCGCGATGTGTCGCGGCGGAGGAACGCCCTTCCCAGCGGCCCCACCTTGTCGCAGTGCAGCGGCAGCGCCCTCTCCAACCCCGTGTCCAGTCGCCTGGCTACGCGCTCCCCAGGCCTTCTCGTCATCAACGCTGTCCCGCTTCCGCCCCGCCGCGCCGCCACGGGCTCAGCAGGGGCGGAACGGAGCAACGGAGCAACGAAGCGGAAGGCGAGAGCTTCCAGGGGAGGAAGCTTTGTAGCGAGTACACGGCGCGGAAAACAGCAGAAGCAGCGTCAGGAGGCAAGCGGAAGGAGCGCACGTTATCGCTTGTGGACACAGCGACAACCCCACTGCCACAAGTGTTGGCAAAGCCCAGCGCGCGGCCACACCTGCGCCTACGGAAATGGCTTAATGTCACCTCTGTTGTGGAAAATGAAGCGTTCCTCTACTGTCACCAACAAGAATTTCTAAGCAATGTTGTGCATTTCTTTGCAATGTTGATAGTGCATTCTGGAAATTGGTGTGGTTGTTTCTTGTTGGTGTGTTGATACCTCCTCTGGAAATTTTCACTAAACAGATTTATAAGAAACAATTTGCTCCGTATTTACCCAACTAGGACGTTTCAACAAAATGACCAAATATGCCAACACAATCTTACTAGCTCAGATGTTCCACAGAAGACACAGTATTTGAACCTGTGCAAAAGGAGCAGAAAATTTTAGAAACTTACACTAGACAAGGAATATTTTTAATTTATTCTTCAGAAACCTGAGCAAAGCATTGAACATGTGCACATTCGCATCCTGCCAGCACCCAGAGAACCAGCCAAAACTGGAAACTGTCATTAGCTCATAGTATTCAAGCATAAAATGGCTGGCATACTAAACTGGGTATCAATGACACTAAAGAAAGAATAAACTAAAATGTTATATATGCAAATGTCATAGGTCTGTTACAGCCTTCTATGCCTATATGGTACAGGTATATAAACAATTTCAAAGAATAACATAACATAGAATGTAGAAGTCTTAGGATCTAAGAATCAACCGCTTTCCCAATCTTCCACCCACTCCTGTTGGAGCCACACCCGCTCCTTCCAGTCTGCTCACTTTGCTAAAGTTGGGCAAGTCTTGGGAGCATGGTTGACAGGCTGCTCTTTTTCAATCAGCATTCATTTAGATGATTTTTTTCTCTGGAGGTTGACATACAGCCAGATATGCAATGTCTGGGGACTGTGTGGGATTGTACGATTCAGGCCTTTTCCTGACATTAGTTTGTACATGTAAAAAACAAAATTTAAATCTTGAAACAAACATGCACTTTACTTAATTTTAACACCCTTCTGCACCTAAATAACTTAGTTCATTGCTTTATCTTTCTTTTCCCATTAATCATAAGATTGAAAGAATCAAAACCTCTGCCAACATTTAGCTGGTAGTTATGAGAACAAGTGATCGGTAGACAAAAGTTGAACTGTTGTACAGACAAATTATTAATAACCTATTTTTCTACTAACTGTTTTAAAATAGTATGTCTTACAATGTGAAAAATTGAATTTATCTTAGAATTAGTAGTTTGAAAGATTCTAACAAACACCAAAGCACTATCTACCAAACTTCCTGTGAGCAAGTAAATAGAAGTCAACTTGAAATAGTTGAAATAGTCAACGCGACTACAAAAAGTTTGGGTTGTTCATTTATGTAAACCCTTCCTCTGACTGAAATCTTAACCTGCCACGGAAGACTGATAGCCCATTAAGCAATTCTTACAACAGTAAATAATTCCTCCCATGAATACACACTGTAAGCAAAACCGTGCACACTAACCCTTCCCCCTCCACCCCCCAACTTTTCTTGTCTATGTATTTCAGATGTTCTGTTTTAAATACAGTTTCACATTTGTTTTTTAAACTATTTCTTTCTCTCCACTTGAAGATCTAACAATCTAATAAAAATGGTATCTCCCAACACCTAACCACAGCCATTTATTCTTGCTATATCAAACAGGCACCCAGAGGTTACTTTAAAATCCGAGAATTCAGCATAAGATGCATCTTCTCAGTCACTCTACCTCAATAAAACTATGCTCTCCTCTCTTGTCCATTTTGTTGATAATTCTAAGAAGGCCAGCAAATGCAATTAAAGTGTAAATACTGAAAGCTTTGCTTAAATACATAATGGCTGTTGAAGATCTTTACAGAAATAAACTGAAACTTCTGGATCAGCTAAGCAAATGCCTGTATCCTACCTTTTCTATCTTCGAAATAAAAGCTGTTTTTTAATCGTAAAAATAAGTTTTAATAAGTTTATCTACTCCTCTAACTTTTAGAATGGGTGTATATATACATATATATATATATTCTACAAGAAAAAAGTTTTCTCTCTCCTTCATTAAGAAAAATTGTATTTCAATACAGAATTCTCAAACATCAATATGAATAAAATACTACACACTCTGAACAGTCTTAATGTACTTATGGCTCTTGATAAATCAGAGCTCTCAAATTTATGGGCTGATGTAACATTTACCACCTGAATGGCAGTGTTCCTCCAAGAACTTAGCTAACTGGGACAACTAAGTACAAAACTTTACGTTTTCTTTGCCACTCAATGGAATTCTGTAAACTCCTGCCTCTCCACTGCATTACTATTATGCAGGATATTTTGACATTCTTTTAAAACAAATATAAACAAAAAAAATGGAAATGAGATGTGGTAGTTGATAGGTGACTGACAGACAGTTAATAGGCTGCAACACAAAATGGCTAGAGGTGATGCTAAATTAGCATACCATAGAAGGAAGTAAAAATAAACAACGTGGGAAGTGCGTGACTAGATGATGCCCTTTACTCTAATGTTATTTTAATAAGCAAAGATGCATTGCTTTTTTTTTTTTTTTTTTTTTTAATTTCTATCTCCTTCCCTTACTGTACCCCCTTCTCTTTCTCATAAGTCACTATTTTTATGAGAAAGAGCAATCTAAGTCTTTATGACAGAAGCCGTACTTCTTACCAAAAGCAAGCAATTGAGAACTTGTAATGATTTGACTGTGTCACCTAAATCTCTCGCAATTCTTAGAGGGAAACAAAGTACTACTACTAGAGTATTGTCCTCAGCCTCCAGTTCCGGACAACCTTTCACAGAAATTTACTTTCCCTTTGCACATCAGCTGAAGTGGCATCCTGTCAAGCTGACATTCCAATGAAGACTGGACATTAATTCTAGACTTTATCAACAGTTTCTCTACTTAATCAGAACAAACCAGCGCTTATTACTTTGTTTGTTTGCTTTGTTATAAACACCTCAATTCTTCCTGGCTCCAGATCTTATAGCTGCTGCAAGATGGTTAGGTAATATGCAGCCTTAGGTAAATTAAAAAGAAATAATACAAATTTGAGCAAGAATTTCTCCATCTTTTTACCAGTCTGGTACAGGCCCATCAGTGTTCTACTACAACATAGATTTTAAACATACCCTAAGTTTTATCAATAAAACACCATTCAGTTGCTTTGTTGAGGAAAGTGCATTAGAGTTCCTGTTTCTCTCCACTAACTGCAGTGGAGTCAGATGCAACAGGAACTTTATTACTTCCTGCAAAAACAGAATCAAAAGCAGCTTCCTGTTCCTCCAAAGTCACAGCAGCAGTGGATCCTCTAGCAGGCATCCCAGTGAAAGATGGACGTTGCTCTGTAATCCTTTCCAGGTCCACTGTTTTCCTGCCTTTTCTTTTGCCCAGTATTCTGATATAATTAGCTGGTACAAGTCCTGTTGTTTGACCATCATAACTAGCCAGAAGCCAGCCACGGATTTTGGGTTGTTGGTCTGAAAAAGAAAACGCAAGAGCATTAGGTTACGAAGCAATTCAAAGTATTTTGCAGTTGAGGCACAAATACACAAGAAGGCAGAGCACAACTGATCACATAGAAAATAACTCTGTAATAAAAGGGAAATACAAATTACTACACAAGAGAAATGACAAGGATCTGCATTGATGAGGTGCTCTGAAGTGCACTGTGAAGCTGAAATTGTTGACACCACCATACTGCAAACGCCTAAGGATCTTCACAGCTGAACAACAAATATGAAAAAAGGATAGCCACAAAGATAACCACAAAGTATACTCTGAGTAATACTTTTAGGCTGTGTTATACTTCAGGGAAATTGAACAAAACTGTTAGTAAGTTTTATTACAGTGCATATAATGAAAAATAATTAAAAAAAAATAATCAGTAGATCTGAGGAATTGCGTCAAAAAAGGTGTTTCGTTTTTACATTCTCACTTTTTCCCCCATGCTCCTTGCTCCCTTCTTTTCCCCCCTACACACAATTCAGACTCAAACTACACAACTTACTTCACATACAATTAGAAAACAAGTTGAAAGTTAAAAGCTTACCTTTGGGTGCTAATTTTAGAATGTCACCAGCACGGAAGGATATTTCCTCTTCTGAGAGAGCACTGAAGTCATATTCTGCTCTTCCAACTACATGATCATCTTCTCCACTTGCCCAGTTACTAGATACTGTTTCCAAAAAGAAATTAAGAAGTTACTTGCTTTGAATTTCAAGGATGAGAAGTTTTTGGTTGGTTGGTTTTGATTTTTTAATAAAAGAAAAATGGAGAAGACACCTTAACTTTCTTGCTTCTCTAGCAGAGGACCAACAGGACTAACAAAGACAACATTTTTAACCTTTTAAGTTGAGGGAGGGGAGATTTAGGTTGGATGTCAGGGGGAAATTCTTTACAGAGAGTGGTGAGGTGCTGGAACAGCTGCCCAGAGAGGCTGTGGATGCCCTGTCCCTGGAGGTGTTCAAGGCCAGGTTGGATGGGGCCCTGGGCCGCCTGGGCTGCTATGAAATGTGGAGGTTGGCGGCCATGCATGTGGCAGGGGGTTGGAGATTCATGACCCTTGAGCTCCTTCCAACCCTGGCCATTCTGTGATTCTGTGATTTGGTGAGTAAACCTAACCAACAGCTTCTCCTTCTTCTCCACCTGCCACATTTAAATAGAAAGGAATCATGATTTTGCAATCACATAAAGTGTACCATGAAACTGAATCTCAGTTCAACAGCAGGCTATTTATACAAGCTATTACTTGTACGATACATGCTTAAAATTCAGTGTTGTACCCCAGAATCTATAGATTTCCATTGCTGAAGTGTAAGGTTAATCTCTATACACGATAACTAAATGAACAATATCATCTGTACTTCTCATGATTCTCCCATGCTGCAGATCATCTTTACCTGATTCTTCATCACTGTATGTAGAAAGCAGTTTCCAAATCAGATATGGACCTCCCATAATAACAGCAAAGAACAAGAAAATAGGCCAGGATTTTGCTGAGTTAGCTGCCTTGTCTTCAAAACCAACACGAGCTACTGTCCCCTGACTTTCAGCCCACAAATCCTCATTCTCAGAGCTCTTCCGCAGACCCAGTAATCGCTGTAGACGTTGGTAGAGATATCTTATAGTTCTCACTAAAGCAAAAGCTGAAAACACCTTTGTGAAGTGTACTTTGAGGCGGGAGAAGTGGTTGGCTACATCCAACACAGCTCTGAAGCTGTTGTACACAGCTGAAAAGGTAGCATCCATCATCATGCTGACTGAGGCAAATGCATGCACGATACTTTCAATGGACTGAAATGCACCTCTGCTGCTCTCTTCAGCTTGTTGAACAAACCTGCTGGGAGGAATATCATCTGTACGAAAGCGGTTATAGCCCAAGCCACCATATCCATAACTGTAAGGACTGTAGCTTCCATAAAAAGAATTTCCATATGAACCATAGCCTGTAGTAAAAGAACTGCTATATGCTGGCCTTAAAGTACTGAGACTACTGCTTCCTGTTTGCTGTGATGGTCTTGGCAAAATAGGTGGAGGTATTCGTGCAACTGTGGGTTGTCCAGGTCTGGTCAGCAAGTTGTCACTCAAGTCAGGAGACCTAAACAAATTCAGACAACCAAGATCAGTACTCAGAATGAGTTATGTTTTTATTTTCTCCAGCATTCTTAAATAGCTATCAATATGATCTTGTGTTCTGGCAGTGTCAGGTTGAGGAACCTGGTTGCCAAATACTTGTATTGTTGCATGGTGTTAGTAGGAAGTAAAAATTTCTGTCAAGAAATACAAGCCTTTCACTAAAAAAAATAAAAAAAAATTAAAAAAATCAGTGTAAGTGTTGAATTGCAGCATAACTGAAACATATATAAACTGTTTTTATCGTACAGACTAAAAGCACAAAATGCTATGGCTAGACCCATCCAACCTGATGTTCATTCAACTCCTAAGTCATCTGCATGTGCAAAAGAGCATCTCATACAGACTACCAAGAATATTTTGCAATTTGAAAGCTTTAATTCCTGCATTTGTTCTCATTTCTTCTAGATAATGGTATAGCCAATTGTACAGCAAGAAGGAAGGTTGACAGCTGCTCTGAAGTCACCCTGGGAGAAACCGCTGGTGGAACCTAACTGAAAATTCAAATGACTATACAGCACACACAAGAGAGTAGGGCTCCCTGCTTTCCTTTAGTGAACTGGGATTGAATCTAAAACTGTTAACACTTGGCAGAAAGAGGTATTATGAGCTCATTTACTTTTTTTTTTTTTTTTTTTTTTAATTTAATGAACTTCTAGCCCTTTGCATGCCTGTGTTTCAGCCAGTTTACCTATGCCCTTTCTAATAGGTCTCTGCAAGTTCTAGGTTGGCACCTGAATTCTATTAAGTAGCTGTCCAACATCTGCTGTTTTCCATATTGAAGCAATCTGCTATACTACTTACATATATGATAGGCAACAACTTTTCCCACAGCAAAACCTGTAGTTTACTTAAAGCAAAGTATAATATTTGTATCTTGATACTGTTTGTTTCTTCCAATCTCGACTTCAAGTTAAAAGCAGATGTAAAAATAAGTTACTACTACAGAAGATGAGGACACCTGCCCAAAAGCCACTTTAGGACAGCTCACTTTTAAGATACTTAGAGTAAATTAAAATGAAGTAGATAACTTCATGAAAAAAACATCACACATCTTGCTCAGCAAGCTTCAGCCTATAGTGAAAACGGTTTTTCCTGAAAGTTCAGTTTGCAGGTGACCTTTTACCCAGTTTCAGCTCACCATAATTGCAATCAACAGCACCAAGCGGAAAACTAGGCTGATCTCCAGCCATCAAGCTTTCCTTGATTTCTGATTTAAATGAGCTCGCCAACCCTTCCTGCGCGGCATCCTTCCCAGTGCGTACGCTGCTTTCTGGAGGAGCCCAGCCCCAGGCCAGCACAGCGGCAACAAACACACGTTCATCTTCTCCACCGCCATGAACGCCCGCGCACAGCCCCACTCCCACGGCGAGCACGGCTCCGCAACCCTCAGCTACGAACGGCAGCACTTTTCCACTCGTGGCAACACACCCAGCTTTGCTAACACGTCCGCCTCCACCTCGTTAAATCCTCGGCTTTCCACAGCCTGGCTAGGAGCCCATAGCACCCTTCGTGCCGACGAAGGGTTCCCCCCACACCCCTACACACCTCCCCACGAAGCGGGCTGAACGGCCGCCCCGCGCACAACCCGCCCGGCCCCTCCCGGCCCGACTAAAGCCTTCGGGCCTTGCTGGGCCGGCGCCGCGCGGACGGGTAGGCCCGACCTTTGAGCTCGGCCGCCCGCAGGGAGCGAAGGCCGACCCCGTCGGTGCGCGGAGAGACCCGGGCTCGGGGCTCACACTCACTGGAAGGCGGGCGCCACGCCACCCGCTAATCGCCGGTTCTCCCAGGGCTTGGGAGGCGGCGGCTGCGAAGCCATCTCCGCCTCGCCGCAGCCCCGCTCTAGCACCGACCCGCTCCGGCCCGCTGCGCTCCTCCGCCCGCCCCCGGCAGGCGGGACGCCGCAGCGCCGAGCGATCGAACCGGCGGCCTTCCTGCACCGCGTTCCTCGTTCCACATTCCGCCCCTATCGACGCGCTCCGCCCCGCGCCGCAATGGCTGCTTGGCGCGGCCCTGCGCGCAGTGCTGTGTATGATTGAGGGCCGTGCCGTGCCGTGATACCGGGTTCCCTGGCTCCTCTGGCACCACGGCTGCCTCCTTGGGAGGTGCATGAATTCTTTCATTGTTTTCTGAGTTGCGTTTATCGTTAGCCTCTTCCTTTTTATTTATTTATTGTTTTTTTTTGAAGTATATATTAGTGTTGTCTAGCATGCCTCCTCTAACAGAAAAGGACAGACCGATTGTTCAGCTGTTACTGGGCGCTGGCACGTGCCCACGATGTATTTTCAGGTTCTGCCGTGTGGGATCGCAGACGCTTTATAGACATCCATACAAGGTTTGTTTTTTGTTTTCTTAATTAGAACGTACAACCGCATGAATGCAGTATTATTTGCACACTCCTTGGAGGAGAAGGATGTTGTTTGTATTCTTGGTCAAGAGAAGTGGCTGCAGAACTGTGCAAATTTGAGAAATTACAGTAATGCTGTAGAATAAGAATTTCTGTGATTTCTGTGTTAGGTTTATTAAGTTGCTGTGCATTCCTCGAAAACCCCTGTAAACAGGACAGAGCAACTTCTGCACAGCATGGTTCTATCATTCTTGCAGTGTAGCTATGACAGTTCCCTCCTTTGTTTTTCCTTTAATGCAGTAAGTAGCAAAGGGGCTATGGGTTACTGAAGCTGATTCAGGGCCTTCCCTTTTTGCTTCATACTTCTTCCATCTTCCAGGAGAACTGGTTGAGGGATGTAGCTAAGAATGGCACAGGTGAAGGATAGGTCCTCCACTTTCATTCAAACAGTGCTATTAAGCACTCTGTTTAGCTGACCTTCCCGCTGAAATTCAGTGTTCTTAATTTTTTTTTTCCCGGTTGTGCACAGTCTTCCTGTTTTCTTGTATTATGCACTTGTCAAATTATTTTTGGCTATTTGTTCCTCCACCATGTTGATTCTTAGAGTTCTCATTGTGTAGGCCCATTATTTCTGTGTATTTGCTCTAACGTGTTGTCTTTATGTTTGTGTGTGACAGTGTTTGCCTTGATTATTTCACTTTCACTCAAGTTTAGACTCTCCAGAATTCTTCTTCCACGTCTTTCTTCCTTATCCTTTTTTCATTTTTAATCAGCTCTCTCTGTTGAGAAGTTGTGTTGTTGTGTGTGGCTTATCATTCTTTTGCAGCTGTACCCAATTTTCATCTGAGTTGCAACAACACAGTAACTGCTGTTATTGAAGATGTTTTAATAAATCTTTTTTTTCTGACCTGTGTGTTACCTCTACCTTTCATCCTTCCTAAATTTCAGATATATGGTTAGTTCTCTCTCCTCACCACCACACTTGGGAATATTCCTAAATTTCTCATTACATGAATGATTGAGACATGTACTTTGTCATGTGTGTTTAATTTCACCATCACATTTATCTGCTCTAATTTTCTTCTCATACTCTGGTAGCCAACTGTCTTCGTTGTGTGGGCTAATCGTGTTGGAGGAGTTAAATTCTTAGGTTATCTGAATGGCAAAAAGGGAATAAACATCTATTTTCCTTCCAGCAGGGAAGAGGCTGAAGATAAATGCAGTTCTGCAACTCAGTCTGTAAAATGTTTCCAGTGTTCTTGGACAGTAAAGTAGTCTGTTCAGCAAAAATCTTTTTTTTTTTTTTTTTTTTTTTTGTAACATTTTGACAGAAGTTTATTTTTTATTGTGATAGTGTCTTTTGGTATATTTTACAATTTGTTAGTTACAGACACAAAGACTAAAGCTACAGGTGGTTTCTTCTGCTTCTTTAAACCCATGTTTGTTAGTGCTTTTTACAGCACTGAATTAAAGACGAATAGTCAACAACAGTAAAATCCCTCCGTTTGTGTTAGGAGTTGATGAAGGATTTGAAACAATTCCTGAAAGGTAATCAAGAAAAAGAAGATACAGCTTGCTTTGATGTAGCTGATCCGCCTTGTAAGCGATTCAGACTTGGACATGCAGAAGAAGGGCCTGATGATCTGAACCAGAATGGAATGCTCAGTCAGATTCCTTTGCTTAATGATGATAATGCTGCTGTGGAGAACTCAGCTGAAGAGGTTTGCAATGTGTGTTTGGGAATTCTTCAAGAGTTCTGCGAGATCGACTTTGTTAAAAAGGTAAATTGTCAGTTCTTAATCTAGGTACTTTTTAGGAGCTTTTGTACTTCAGGGACTGCAGTATAGATCTGGTGATCAGAAACACTGTACAGTTACACAATTGAGAGAGGGAGCAAACCAAACTGAAACATTTACTTGTGTTGAATATTTGAGTTGTAGATGGCGCCATTCAGCTACAAACTGCTCACTGACATAGTGCTTGCATACCTATGTTGGAGCTGGAAAATAAAATTGTTTGTGTGACTGTGTTTTATCCAAGGTTTGTTATAATATAACTTCAGAAAGAGAAGTATAAGTGCAATGGAATGACAGACAGGAGCATATTCTTGTAATCAGTTTAGGAGCTTAGAGTACAAGTGAAACCTCACTGTAAATGATTCTCCCCTTTTTGCTATGTAAGGGCAAAATGAGGAGGCATCGAATGCTGTGCTATTCAGTTTAACTGTGTGTTTCTAATATAGGAGTGTTTCTTTACCATATGGGACTTTTTAGAAAGCCACAAAGGAAAAAATGTGTTTGGTGGTACAACAGATTGCAGATAATAAAGAAAAAAGGAGTTAAGAGAGAGCATGGACATAACGCATGTTGCAGATATCATCTCTGAGCAGTACAATTGCTTATGTGACAAACTAAAATATTAGCTAAAAATGCCACTTGCACTTGAGAAGTTTGACTGAGTTTTTATAGAAACAGATTTGGTTTAATGATGTTAATATATCTAAAAATAGGGCCATGGGATCATACTACATAGATTCTGTTGAATTGTTGGATGCTTTTTTCCTTTTGTCTCCATTGAAAGAGTATATATATTTTAATTGAACCTACTTTTAAGACTTGTTTCAGAGTTATGCTCTTTAGTATCAGTAGAAAATCACATAACATGCTCTTGCGCACAGGCACATTTATTAAGGCACCGCAAAATCTGATTCTCTCACAAGGAAATTTCCTTATCAGAGTTGCTGATTTCATCCTGGAACCTCATAATTAGTCTTTGTCCCTTCTGGTAGAAGCAGCTAGCCATCAGCTTTCACTAACTTACTTTAAAACATTTGATGCATGTTCGGGTTCTTGCTGTAGTTCCAGTGACTAACATGGTTTTTATATCAAAGAACAGTAGATGATATTTCTGCTTATTTGTAATAACTGTATACTAATCCTGAGAAAATTCTGTCATAAACTGAAAGATGAAATGTTCCATTGTCTTCTGTTATTTTGAAGATTGACTGAATTATTACTGTGAATACTTTTTTATTACTTTCTTATGACAGGAACTTAAAGAATTGTATCTGTGCCATGAAGAAAAATATCGCGAGTCAACTCTTCTAGCATGTGGTCTCTGTGGTATAATTTCCTGCATCAACATTTGTGTATATGGTTTTGGCCTTAAAAGAATGTGTTTTCTTATTTCATAATGTCGCACACCAGTAAGAATAGGAGTCATTAATAAGGTCTTTTTTCAGGCTTGTATTTCAGTAAGTTGTCAGGGGCTAATCTAGTTTGTATGTTTGCATCCATCTGAGTGTGTACTAATATGGATTTACAATGATTATGCTGGATAAAGAAAACCTAAAAAAATTATCAACTTAGTTCCATTGCTGTAGTTCAATATTAATGTTCTTTTTTTCCAGATGTGTGAAAAGGTTGATTCTTCTGACTACCAGTTCACCAGTTTTGTGTTTTCTGTGTCACTACCACCACAGCTGTCTGTCAGGGAGGTGAGTTTTTCAGATACTCCTTTATAAATTAAACACGTATTAAAGAAGGTAACTGTGGAAGGTACAGACTGGAGGTAGTTTGATTTTTAATTGCTATCGTTCAAAAAAAAAAAAACAACCCCAAACCTTGCTGCAAGTGTAGTCTGCTTTCCCTTTCCTTTTTGCTAAGTACTGTCATAATTAGTAAGGTGTCTGAGTCACTTCAGTTTTCATTTAGCCTGGGAGCTACTTTACATCTGAAAAAGTAAAGAGGATCTTCTCAGAGAAGGAACAGCACAGCTGGTGCCTTTCCTGAAATAAATGATAATTGGTAGTTCAGAGTAGAAGTGAAGAAGTTTGAATTTAAGCTCTTTAACTTGGCAGCATTTTAAAAGCTGTAAAAAGACATCTTTTGGTAGTCACCTGTCTTGGGCGTTGCTGAAAGTCTGGATTTTTGCAGTTGTAGTCACAAAACTACTTTTTTGATAGCAGTTCTTATCTTGAATTGTTAAGAATTGTTGACTTAAATTTAAAACTTAAATTATTTACATTTTAGTCATTTAATTACATAAGATAATGATAGCATGGACACAATATATATCTGATAATTCTTTTGAAGATCGAGGGAGAATATTAGGCATATTATAACTTTACCAGTAAAGTGACTATTATGTGATGTTTTACAGTGTTGCCTTGTTTTCTAATGAAGTGATGAATTGATTCAAAAATTTTGTTGTAAAAAGCGACTTGTAACTCTTTAAGATAGGTGCCTCTGGATCTAGTATAAACTTGAGTGCATGTGGCAGAAAGTAATATTGATCCTCTTGGATTTGTGTATGAATCTGTGACGAGGTTTGCTCTCATTCTGCAGTTTTTAGTGTTCAATAGTATTATTAGTTCTTATATCTTAAGCAAATGCCAGTGTAGGAACTTGTGCTGATATATGCTCTAAGTCTGATTCCACATCAGACTACCTGCTTCCTATCCAAATCTAAGCCTAGTTGTGCTGGTCACTTCAGCTGCCACTGTCTCTAGTAAATAATGCCAGAGCAAATTACTTTTTGCTTTGTGTCCGGATAAACTCTTACTACTCTCCTTTCATTTTATGGTCATCCAAGAAATGTGATTTATTAAAAACAAAACCCCAAAAAATCCACCCAAAAACCCAACACTTTTAGGCTAGTTAAGTATATGGACATAGAATTCCAAATGTTGGTCAAAATTACCCCAAGTTTGTACTTAGAGTTAACCAAAGAAATGTTACCTTTAAAATAAAAGAGGAGCCCTATTATATCTAGGGTGCCAGTGATAGAGGCTTTTCAATTGCCAGTTCCAGAAGGGAATTTCAATCTTTGTAGTGTCTGTGAGTGAAAAAGAAAATAATGTACTCAGTCTTTTGCCTTGAGTCTGAACTGCACTTCTCATGTTATCAAGTTTTTAATTCATTTTCATTATGCATATTTGGCTTGACAGTTATAGTTTATCTATCTTGAAGATATGTATTTTTCCTCATGGCTTATGTGTATAACTAAGAGGTGAGGCAAGAAAAATTTGCTGCTGCTGTGAAGCAACCTGTTTATGGGTCTTTACCATAATACCTCGGTAGGGGGTGTTCTTGCATTGCAGTTCTAGCTCACTGGTGTTCTCCTGCTGGTCTGAACAAGTAGGGCGATTCTGTCTGCTTTGAGGCAGTGGAAGCAAAAAAGAATAATTTCCTTCAAAGAATTCCTCTTGGTGATTGAAATCTTGATGATGCCCTGAGATTATGGAATGGGAAAACTATCTTGGCAAATGTAGTTAGTAGATTTATTATTTTATAATAACTGTCTTCTAAGTGCAGTAAATTATTAACTTGATAAAAAGAGTGAGATGATGCAATTCTTAACCTGTCCATCTGCTCCATCTGAGATTTCTGGTTGTTATGTTCAAGCAAACAAACATTACGTGCTTGGTACAACCGAGGCAATAAAAGATATGATTTGGGTCCAGAGGTGAGCAAGAGGAATGAGATGAATGAATGGGAAGCTCCAAAAATATATATGTTCTCTTTGGAAACAGTTTTGATTCATCTGGGTCCTGCATTAGAAGGTTTCTGCTGTCATTTCTATTCTGCACCTTCAGTACCAAATGCTAACTCAGCTGTTTGTAGAACTGTGCTCTAACTGAGGAGATGAAAATGGTTGATAGTGGTGGTGAGAAAGAACTTGCTTTAAACCATGGGATTTTGTTTACCACCTATTCATTTACCACTTCAAAAATTGTTGAAAACTGTTCCACTTTATAGTTACAGAAAAGCAACAAGTGATAGTAGTGGGTGTATTTTGAGATGTTCTGTGTTGAGGTTATGATCTTCTGTTGAATCTTGCTTTTAATTTTTTAAGTTGCACTCCGCAAGAACATACATAATGTTATAATAAAAGGACAACCCAAAGACAGCCTTCCTTGTCCCAGTGACCTTTTGTATGACATGCAGATTTTCTCAGACTTACTTTAAAAAAAAAATCAGAAACTGTCTTTTAATATTACCTTCAACTGATTTTATTGTAACAGTTGTTATCCTGCTAATCCTAAAATGTAGGAATGAACTGAAGAAGAGGAAGACATAAAATTAACGTTTGCGTAGTATTTGTATCTGTAATGCACAGAAGCTGTCACCTCTTTCTAGAAGTAGGATATTTGATTGAAATAAATCATAAATACAGCAGTTCCAAGTTTACATTAGGCAACGATATTATAATATGAAGCGAGTCATGCCCTTCAAAAATGTGGCTATTAGCAGTGTCTGTAGTCTCTGTTGTGATCCATCATCCTGATACTTGCTACAAGGACGTTGATGCAAATAGCATGTATAGTCATTACTCCCTGTAAGGCTGTGTATACCTCATCATGGAATTCCCCATTTCTGAGCTCTAATACAGAGAAAAAGTGCGATGGCTGGAATTGCGTGTGGTATTTCAACAGTTGCCACTGTGATTCCTCAGATAGCATTAGAATAATATCCTGCAGCTTGTAATCAATACAGTGCCTGTGCTAGTGTATTTCAGAAATATGTTAGGTTTTAAGTATTGCCCTGCAGGCTTGAGCTCTGTAATGAGCATCTTTCATTTTCAAACCACTTCTCAAACATAACGTAATTATGAAATAGAAGGATCTGATCCCCTGCTTTGCATACAACTGGGAAAGGGCAGAGCTGGGGAATTAAGGCAAGAGTAGAGGGATTGTTTGAATCTGATTTATAATTTGGGGTCTTCTGACTTATGTGCTCACTACAGCCTAATCTACTGTTTCCTCTTAACTGAAGGGGAAAAGTAATTTAAAACCCCTTTAATTATCTTTAACTTTGCAGTCAGTAGAGAGAAGGTGAAATTTGTCCTGTGGACCTATTTTAGCAGTTAGTAACACACGTAAGTTTTCTCGAGTTTCTGATTCTACTCCCATAAAAGAGGGAAAGGGGGTGAGATCGGCCACCCAACTGATTACCAAACATACAGTGTGCCTTAAATCAAGACATATGATTGTTTAAATTGGCACTTTTGGATGCAGACTTCTTTCTAGACACGGTCATACACTCTAGTTTAGATGTGTGTGTGTGTTCAAGGAGATTCAATTTGAAGCTAATTTTATTTATGATTTTATTTGGGTTATTATGCAAACAGGATTATAGTATACCTCAAGTATTTTGTGAAGGAGTCTTACTCAGACTGTCTACATATGCAGTGTAATGAATCACTGAATTTGAGTAAACAGTATTCCGTCAGTACAATTATATTTATTTTGGTCAGTAACGAGCTGATTTGTGTATTATGTATCTAACAAAGTCTGCATGGTTTCTTCACCATATGTCTTTCCCCCTACTACTTCTAGCACTGCTTTTAAGATTGCCTCATTCTTTTAGATGTACCAAAGGAAGACGAATTTTTGACTGAGTTCCTCTGTCAGCATATAAGTGATATATGGTATGTTTTGTTCTGATTTTAACCAAAAGATGATGCAACCGTGCCTGTGCTCTGAAAAGTTTGATACATGTTTTCCAACCTCTTCATTATTTCCTTGACAAAAGATATTATTATGACGTGATTTAGACTAGAGGAAGATCATTTGATGTCAGAGTTAGAATTTTGGTTAACTTCAGTTTAGTAAAGTGTGTTTTCAGTGTGATGCAGAGAACTCCTCGAGAGTAGCTCTGCTGAGAAGGACAAGCTAGAGGAAAGAGCTTAACGTGAGCCAGCAGCGTGCACTTGCAGCCTTGAAGACCAATGGTATGCTGGGTTCCATCAGAAGAGGCAGGGGGGCAGCAGGGTGAGGGATTGTCCCTCGTGAGGTCCCTCTCAGTACTGCATCTAGGTCTGGGTCCCTCAGCAGAGGAAAATTATAGAGGAGAACCGTGAAGATCATTACAGGACTGGAGCGCCTCCTCTGTGAAGAAAGGCTGAGGGAGCTGGGCTTATTCACTGTGGAGGAGAGAAGGTTCCAGGGAGACCTCATTACAGCTTAACAGTATTTAAAGGAAGATTATAAATAGGAAGGAAATAAACTTTTTACATGACTAGATAGTAATAGGACAAGGGGAACGGTTTTAAACTAAAAGAGGGGTTTAGTTTAGATGTTGGGAAAGTTTTTCTCTGAGAGGGCGGTGAGATGCTGGAACAAGCTGCCCAGAGAGGTGGTGGATATTCAGTCCTTGGAGATGTTCAAGGCCAGGTTAGATGGGGCCCTGGGCAATGTGATACAGTGTTTGATCTAGTGGTTTGGCAACCCTGGCTGTGACAGAGGGGTTGGATGGTCTTTGAGGTCCCTTTCAATCCAAGCCATTCTGTGAATGGCAGTAACTCTTAACGCATTGCAGAGTAAAAAACATAAAGCTTAAATCACTGTAAAATTACTAGAAAGACTAGAAAGAAGCAAGAGATCATCATATGGGATTAATATGTCAGTACAAAGAGAAGTGATTGGGTCTGCAAAGGGATGCACCTTTAAAATGTCAAGCTTCCCAGAGCAAAGTTTTGGAAAGGTATGCTTTTGGAAGCTTTTGACATAAACAGTGTACACTAGAAGTCTTTGATTTCTTGGTCCCTTTAAATTTTGTTTAAATCTGATAGCATTGCACTGATATGAAGGCTGTGGCTTCTTGTGCTTAATTTTGTGTTTTTCTGCTATCATTTTTTATCAGCGGTCATTTTAATTCTGCTTTTGACTTTTGTTACAACTAATATTAAATGTTGTACTGCTGAGTTCCACTTGTTGAGTTGATCGTGACACCTACGTTCAGGATCTTCTATCTTGGGCACTATCATGTTAAAGAAGCCTGCCATATTATATTTCGTTAGCTATGTAAGGCTGCTGCAGGTGGGCAGCAGTGTATGATGAAGGATGATGAAGTATAAAGGATGGACTGAAGACAATCAATCATTAGAGGAGGTTGCTCAAAGAAGTGGAGAAGTCTTCGTTACTGGAAGCTTTCAAGACCTAATTGGATAAGGCCCCGAGCAACCTGTTTCATAACTGTTCGTGCTTTAAGCACAAGGTTGGATAAAGACCTTGTGACATCCCTGAACTTTGTTATGGTCTCTCATGTAAATCAAATATTCATGGGACCTCCATTCAAAGTAGTGCATCTGGAGCTGCAGAAGCTGGTATTCACAAAGGATTTGTAAAAAACAACGGAGGGTCAGCTGGGAAATGAAGAGGAGAATATGAAGTGAAGTCTGCTCGAATAAGCAATTGTTAGTGAATTCCAGTGTTTGTACCAACAGCTCTTTCAGCTTTCTGATAGTATATTGTTCTGTTCTTTGCTTTTCCATATTCAGTGTGTGTCTCCTTAACTAAGTGGTGTAAATGAGTGGTTCGTGATTACCCTAAGTATGTCTTCTAGTTAGTGTTTTTATTTATTATGGATGCCAACTCTGTTTTGTTGTTATTGTTTGTGTGTTTATTTTTTTAAAGTATGCCAGATCAATTTTCAAATACCATTTCTTTAGACATTTGTTTTAATTTCTCTGTACGTGCTGGCTGCACTTGAATTAGGTTATCAGTTCTCCTAGTTACAGTGTTAATAGCAAGTTTGGAAGTGCTTTTATTGCAGCCTGATCTGTTTTTAAAGATAGATGAGATTCGAGGTGTCTTGGTTGTCCATTTGTAAACTGAAAATTTAATTTGTAAACTTAGAAATTTATGCAGTTTATTGCAGAGATCTGGGACTTCCCATTGCCTTTTGTGTCATTTCCATGGTCTCTCCGGTAGCAGACTGAATGCTCGTTAGTACTCAGTAATACTAATTTGGTTTTCGTTTAGCCAGATATGTGAGTATATTCAGTACCACTAGGAAAGTAAAAACTGAACTAATGTTATCAGCAGGGGAAGCCTGATTTTTTTTTGTCAGTGTGGAACAAAAATGGTCCTTAGCTTTTCCTGTATTCGGGATTTAAACTTTTAGATACTGCAATCACTACTTCAACTTTGTCTGCTTATCTTCAGATATTTCTGAAATGGAAGAGCTGTTCTGCAATAAGTAAATAAATTATTTACTGTGGGCGGTTCTTTCGTATTTGACCTTGTAAGACACATGCACTTGTTCTTTCAAACTGTATCAGGAGTGATAAATGGAGACGTATAGGAAGGAGCGCATAAAAGTGAAAGCTTTTTCAAAGAGTTAGAGAACAGGGAGAATGTTATGACAGAACAGCTTTGAAAGGACTGTGTTGACTGACACTTTAAAAATCAGCAAATGGAAGAGAAAAGCAGCAGAACATTCAAATATTAGTGAAATACGAAAACGTAGCTTAGCATAATGGGGAAAAAGAAATCATTTATCTTCAAGTCTTTTCCTTTGCTTTTTGTTGCCCCCAGTTCCACGTATGTCAGATTGTCCTAGGAACTGATTTAAATTACTTAGGGTGTCCCGTGTGGGGGTAGCACACTCTCTCTGCCATGTAATCAATTATTTGTTCTGCAAACATGTTAAGCTTCCAATTGATGTGACGGAAAATTGATTAATTTTTCTGCTTCCCAAAAGCTTACCTATGTTTCTGTGAGTGCAGTGATGGGAGAATGAGCAATAAAGTAAGGAAGAGCTCACGCATGCAGAGTGAGTCTCTGAGGAAAAGAACAAACACTAATTCTGTCTTTTTACTCCTAAAGCAAAAGCTGACTTAAAATCCTAATGCTTCCTTACTGACGTGAGGTTTCTTTAAACTTTAATTATTATTGTTATTGTTGTTATTATTATTTTTCTTGCACTTTTTCAAACAGTTGAAGTTTTGAGCTTTAACTTCACTTGCGTTTTTTTTCTCTCTTCTTCCTGGGCTTGGCTGATGACATATAGCATGCTGCTTGGCTGCTGGTAAAACAGGAAATGGGGTGAGTAGTTTATTTTGGCAGTTCTCACGTCATGTCTACTAAGTGTCCCGAAGAATTAGAGGAAGGAGAGATACTCTTACTACAGGTTTGTTTTTTTTTCAGCATAGCTGAAATGAGACATCGCTCAATGCAATGGACCCGCTGAGATATTTATTCAAGAAAAAATTTTGAGAAAGGAATTAATACCTTATTTTCAAGATCAAAACAGTTACTTTCATTTAAAGGTGCTTCAACTAACAGTTGTGGAATATGTAGAATTGCTTTCCTATGAAAGAGTCGGAGTAAAAGATAAATCACTTCTTATTTTGAGACTAATTTTAAAGCCATTGTTTCATTAATTTGCTTTAGAGAAGATTAACCTGTATAGAGCAGATATTGTCATTGGGTCTGTTCATGCAGAAGGACGTATGCTTTGCTCTGCAGGTTCCCTAATGAGGGGTTTGAAATCATGTGCTGGCATTCTTACTGGCAACTGCTCCTCTTCTCTGCATAGGCAAGACATAGGAATCAAAGCTTGGTCTTGTACCTACAGAGTCAGTTGAGCTCTCCCAGCAAGGTCAACTGAGATTGTTATCTAGACTTTTCCCCTCTGGAATTTGTCTGTTGAAGTTCATGTCCTTCCTTTAATGAAGGAGTGAATCGTTCCTTTAACAACAGGAAAATGTCTTACATTAGTGTTGTGGCTTTGTTTTGCTTTAAAACAAAGGATTTTTTCTGACAGTCTCTTTCTAACCTCTTCTCCATGTAGACTCTGAAAAGGTTTTGGTAACTTTTGATCTACCATGAAACTATAGTGCGTTCTCTTACACAGGAAAGAAAAGAACCTGTTCTTAAGCTGTTAATTAAAGAAACATTAGCAAATAGAAACAGGACAAAACGTGGTATTATCTTATCTGGAACCTCTATGAGAGGATACTGCAAGTGGCCAGGGTGCTGAGAACAACAAGATCTAGATAGAAAATTTTAACTGAAGTTGAACTTGAATCTTGAAGTTGATTTAAGAAGGATGTTGATATAATAAGGATCCCAGCTCCATCTGCATGTACCTTCTGTCTTTCTTGTATTAACATAAATACTTATGTGACCACCCACCCATAGAGCTGATCATCTCACTGGTCTGTCTGGAGGAAAAAACAGTAACTATTCCTTTTAATGGATTTAGATTTACCCTGAATGGGATCAGTGTACTGGTATGATTTACCGTGCTGAGTGGTGTCAGCATGCACACGAGTATTTGTTTACTGGAAAGCATCTTACCTGAAATCCTGGTCCGGCCTTAATGCTTCCTCAACACCTTTTTTGTTGATTCAAAATAAAGATTCATTGCAATTATAAGAACCCTTGCAACAGCCTTTCTTTCATGCTGTGCTCTGTATGCTTAGCACATTTGTCCTTTTTATTTGTGCAGTGCTTGTTCACCTGCAACTAGTTACTTAAGTTTGTCTTGAAATATCATATGGTATCTATCTTTGACTCCTGTGCAAGTTATTATTTCTTTACTTATATTATTCAGAAAACTGGGCCTTTCCTTGGCAAAGGATGACATTGTTCAGCTGAAAGAAGCTTATAAGTGGATTATTCATCCCCAGTTGTCAGAGGAGTTGGGTGTTCCCACTGATGGAAAGGTATTGTGTTGTATAAATAAGAAAATACTTCTTTCCTGTGTGGTTTTTTTTTTTGTTTTCACATATGCGTATATAGATGTGAGATAAATCATATGGGTTATTAGTATGTTAAGTTCACTGGATAGAATATATTTCTGAAACATTCTAAAGGAGGAAAGACTAATGTTTGTTCATTGTAATGACTGCTAGAGATAGGCACGAGGGAACTTGTAGTGCTAGTGAACAAGCAGTAGGACATAATTTTTTTCAAACCCTAGTTTAACTTTCGAATTCTGCCAAACGTTTCTGAAATGCATTGACTGGATGGAAGGTTGAGAAGTTGTCAGACAAACCCAGAAATGCTATCATCTTGACTGTAATCCATCTCTGCAAACATGGCTAAAAGTCCTGCTGCGGGCAAAGCAGTCTAATTATTTTCATCAGCTATAGAACTGATGCCATGACTATACTCATTCAGTCTTTAAGTTGATTTGTCAACTTCCAGAGTAGTTACAGATTGTCTTTTCCCAGGAGTACTAATTGAAAGCATCCGTTTTGTCTTAGTGAAGCAAGAATCATGCAGTCACTCTGAAGGTGATCCAAAAAGAAACAAACTTCTTATGTACCAAGTTAGCAAACACCCTGCAGGACTTAGACACTAAGCACTTCAGACTCCATTGTACCATAAAAGTTACTTTTCTAGTGCTCTTTATCTACAAGCCACTTGAATATTAGCCAATCTTTCCAATAGCCCTCTTGAGATATACTGGTATCTGAAGAACAGAAGTAATGAGTGTTGTTTGCCCAAGGCCAAAGAGGGAATTGGGGATAGAATTGAGATTACAGTGGTTTCTAGTCTAGCTGTTAGTCCACTAGGACATGTTGCCTTTCTTTGCCCCAAGGCCATCCAGTCACTGCAAACGAAGCCCCTGACAAAATTCTACAGTGATGAGCGCTATAGGGTTTTTATCTTTATTTCACACTAAGCACTGCTTTCCCAGAAGGTGTGTTAAGTTTAGTGACCATAATAGGCTTTGAGTATATACTGTCTCTGACTCAGTTCTCCCTGTACAGAATGGGGCCAATATCTATGATGTATAGGTCACTCATGCCTTTGAAGTGTTCTGAGATCATCTTTGAGTACTTCAGAAATGCAAATAGTGTCACAGCTCAAGTTTTAATGTATTTCTTTGTATTATATTGTAGAATATATATTCAGAATATATTATATTGTAGAATAAGTGTATTACTTTCTCTTTTGTCTGCCTCTTTACTGTTTTCCTATCATTACAGTATATGGGAATATCTTCCTGGCTTGTTTAACAGAGTATTATACCCCATCCTTTTTTTTTTCTATTTTTCATCTAGAGTTTGTTTGAAGTTAGCGTGGTCTTTGCTCACCCAGAAACAGATGAGGAGTGCCGTTTCCTGTAAGTTTTGATGTAAATAACATAAGATCTTTTATCTAAATATTGTACAACTTCATTGGTTTGGATTTGCTACAGATGAGAATATGCAGTGTTTGTAAGCTAGCATGGTGTTTAAACTTCCTTGTATTTAGATAAAGCTGCAGAGCTTAAAGTTACTCCATTTCTTCTGGTTAATTCTGTGCTTTAAATCTGCTAAAGAAAATAATTCTGAATTTTGATTTGAGCTGGAAGGAGAACGTTCAAACCAACTGTTGAATTTCAGCCCTTTTCAAACTCATTACCCTTTTCAGTTTAGCTTGTATCATTTGAAAATAAATTCAAATCAGATCATTTAGGGCAAGGGCATCTTTTGAGGTCATGCCTAGTTTTTCCTGCTCTCATCCTTCTCATGGATGGATAGGAAGAAACAGAAGTTTCCTGGCCACTTCACAGTCTGTTGGCTTACTCTGTGGAGTATCTGCTATATAAATCTTTTTTTAACACAAAGAAGCAAAATATTTCTGTGAATTTAGTTTAACATTTAGTCTGATTTCTCAAAATCTAGCAGTTGTTATATTCTGGATAATTAGATTCAATCTTCCTGTTTGCTAATGCTTCCTGGAAAATTTGTGTTTCCACTCTTGTGCTCCTAGAGCAAGTTAAACCTAGCATAGAAGGAGGCTCTCCTTCAGATTTCTGCGTTGCATAGTGACTTCATCTCTGGAAACCAGGAATTTCCTTTGCAGTATTTAATAGATTTGCCTGGTATTATCTCATCCGGCAACTTGTGAATGCCTGATCTGCCACCTTCTTGGTTTTCAGCAACTGCATCCTTCTTATCTGTTGTGTAGGGGCACGGTGATGAGATAATGCATGCTTGATGACCTGGTACTAGGAAGAAATGAGTATCAGCATTTGCTGAACTTCTTTCCCTTCCAGCATCTTCAAGACAAGGCAAAAATGAGATAAAGTGGTGTGGCTGAACTACCACTTTACCTGCAGTCCTGTAAAAACTCCACGTTTTCTGAATTGATCATACTTCTGTTCTTATTTATTTCAATTTATTTGATTAATTCTGGTTTCCTTCAGCGGTCTTCCTTCCTCTGAAACCTGACAGTTCTTATTTTCAACTCATCCTTTCACTACCATTTTGTGGCAGTTCAAAAATGTTGATGCCAAGCCTGTTATAGTGCCAAAGTTGGTGCACCTGTAGAGTAGAAAACTGTAAAGAAGTACTCAGATCTGTTCTGTGTGACTTGACAATATCCCTGTATTTGCTTTCTCTTTCTGGGATAATTAGTTAATGATCAGACATTTTTCTGAAGTAACAGCATATTGCCTAGCTTACTTACCTGATAATTTCTCAGGCATTCTCCGTATGTGGAAGTATTTCTGAGGTTTTATTTAAGGTTTAATGTAAATAAGGAAATTTGGCAGTTATCAGGATGTTAGTAATGACAGTCATATGGAAGCAAAGTAAGGGGTTGTCCAAACTTGGAAAAGTCTCCCATACTCCAGGTATGGTTTTGAATGGGATTTCCAGGTATGGCATCTGCAGTTTCTCTTCTCTCAAGCCCTTTTTGCATAGTTGTGCACAGGTGGATGTGCTAAAATAACCCTTGGTGTGATATGGAAGATCGATTGGCTTTTGATATATTGTTTATATTTGTTTATGTTTTGTTATATATGTTTATATTTGGAAATTTGTATTTAAATTCTGGAAGAAGGGATTTGTGTCCCAAACTGCCCAGGAAGTTGTTTGTATAGAAACTGCAAGAGGACAAACCTACCTCTTTGCGGTCTGCTATAGTCTATAGAATTGATAAACTGTGTTGCAGGCTAGAAATCATCTCTTAACTGTATACATAGAAATCTGCTAATAGGAGCAGCAACTTCCTCTACAGTACAGGAAAAAAAGTTTAACTGAGTTGGCTTTCACCTTTGTGAAACAGCCAAGAAATTCCTTTTGAAGCAGCAAAGCACAAATGGTACCAAACAGCGAGGGATTTTTTTTTTCCATAGTAAGTTGAATTTTCCTATCCAGAAGCACCAACTTGAGTCTCTAATTTTGAAATGCCTAATTTACAGTGTGCGTTTCAAGATGTCAGCATACTTTGTGCGGAACATTAATCGTAACCTTTACTGAGAAGGACTGCAAAGGACTGAAGATAAACTTAGGTGCTTTTCCATTCTATTTCAAAAGTGAAATGCATTTGGTTCAGTCAGAGCAGAAAAGGCTTACAATGCTTTATGATTTATCTCTAGATCAAGCAATGCGCAGTTTCCCCCATTTGTGGTTTAGTATAAAATTGATTTAGAAATCTGCTCTTTGCTAAGCTGTGGAAGTGAGGTGTTGGATATATTGGTAAAAAGGCCATTAAGTGTTATGCTTCTAAGTATGACTGTCTCTGTGTTTTGTTTCGTTTGTTTTTTGAATTTTCTGTAAGATTATCAGCTAATTTTCATTTCTGTATTTAGAGCCACAGTCTGTCCAGATTGTTTCAAGCCAGCAAAGAACAAACAGGTAGGATCTCATCACTGCTCTATTTCCTTTTTGACATTCAGATTCTCACACTAAAAGCTACAACAAAAAACTTCCATGGCTATTTTTCATCACTGTTTAATGTCTGTTTTTCCTGCATCAGAAATCTCTCAGAATTTTTACTGATCTGAAAATAGTCATCTCATTTTACTCACTAAACATTTCTCTGCTTAGGAAAATGATGAACTCGATGCTTTTCTTTAGCTCATTTGTTTTCCAGATTGTCCAAACGAATACTTTAAGTAATGTTCTCTATATATACAGCCTTTAAGAGGAAGAATTTGAGTGTCTTGCATTAAAAGTAACACATAAAACATGATCTCCAATTTCTCTGTGAATGAAACAATTCAGATAAGTTGCACTCTGAAAAGGAGACTCTGCAGCTGAAGGAGAATGATGTGACAGATTCATGTAACATCATTCATACGGATGTTACAGATTTCATGTCCTGTGATCCAAATGAAAGGCACAATACCTCCAGGATGATTTTATCCTGTCCACTTCTGGAGTGGGGAAAAAAGAAAAGAGACCTTGCCACTTGCTGCAGACCCTGAACACACACGTAATCATTATGAGAAAAGAGGGTGTTTAAGAATAAAAAACAATTGGAGATAAACTGATGTGACCAGGACAGTAGGTGTGCTCAGAGGGAGAAAAGTGATTTCTGTCTGTAGGAGACCTGTTGTTCTTTCTCATGAACGGTCTTAGCAACATTTGGTATGACCCTTGAATTTTGTCTACTGTACTCCACTGGACAAATAAATACAAATTTTTTTTTTTTTTTTTTTTTTTTTTTTTTTTTTTTTGGAAGCTTTGTACTGTGATAACCTGCTGGTTGCTGCACTGCTTTCATGTAAAAGTGGGGAAATCCCCCGTAAAAAGCTAAACCAGCAAGGCCTGTTGAAACCACACAGGCAACAAGATGTAACAAAATGTAAAGGAAGAAATACAGTTTCTGAATCAGAGGCTCTTCCTTAAAGAGAAACTGTGCTTGAAGTTAGTATCAAAGGCTGTGTTAATCAGAAGTGGAGTAAAAGCTGGATTCTGAGTAAAAATGTCTGAAGCCTATTGCTAGTTTAAGGGTTTTCCATCTCGTATTCCTATGAGTCTGTCCTGGGATCCCTGCTATGTTGCATCTTTGTCAGAAGCCTGGAGAAGTGTGTGGAGACCATTCTCAACAAGCGTGCTGATGACAACAAATTGTAAGGGCCAGTAGGTACGCTTGGGGGCAGAGCTGCCATGCAGAGTGATCTAGGAAGGCTGAAGGAATGGGTGGATGGGAACCATATGAAATTTGGCTGCAATGAATACACAATAGTTGGACACCTGAGAAGGAATAATGTCTGGCAGTAACGTGGTCTGAGGACTGCCAGGCTGGGAAGCAGTTTTTTTAAAGACGCCCTGGGAGTTGTGGCAGGTGGACAGCAAGCTGAGAAAGAGCACTGATCTCTGGCAGCAGTGGAGGCCAGCAGCATCCTGGCCTTTAATAATGGAAATGTATCACGTAGACTGAGAGACAATATTATATTCCTCAGCTGTATGGAGATCACATCCAGGTTTAGGCCCTCAGTGGAAAAAAGACATCATTTAATTGGGAATCCAGCAGAGGACCTAGAAAGATAGAGTTGGAATACATGCCCTGTGAGGAGAGGCTGAGGAACTTGGTCTTGTTCAGCCTGAAGAAGGCATTTGAGAGAGCTCGACAGAAGCACCCCTAGTACTACACAGATGTTGAGGGAACTAGGCTTTTCACTGCACTGCTTTTAGAAAGATGAGAGACAATGGGCACGAGTTGAAATGATAAGCTTCAGAGAAGATATAAGAACAAAGGAGGAGTTAAAATCATATCCTGCTGAACTGGTAGTAGGTATAAGAAAACACAGAATGTAAGTGAAAAAACTGTATTGTGAGAAGTGCATGGTGTATATGTTTGAAGATTTTCTTTCTTTTTTAGCTTATCTTCCTGACTTTTTTTATTTCGCTGTGCAGTCTGTTTTCACTAGAATGGCAGTTATAAAAGCCCTAGAGAAGATAAAAGAAGAAGATTTTCTCAAGTAAGTATACACTGAAACTATTTATTAATATTGTTTTTTTGTAAAGAATTAGGATGGGCAGGTCAGTAGTAGAACGGAATCTAAAAAAAAAAAAAAAAGTAGTTTTAATTCTGCTAGTTTGTTAGTTAAAACGTGTTGCATTTTAGGCTTCTGATGCTAACGTACAATTCTATTTTTTTAATTTAAAGAGTAATGTTAGAATGGAAAATTAGACATGATGCAAATAATGGTCTTTTTCCTATTAGGAAAAGTGCTTCATTGGTTTATTATGCCAGGAGCACTGCAGAGGAGAAACTGCAGGTAAGAGAGCTGCAGTCCTGCTCTGCAGTCCCAGCAGCATGTCACTGCAGGTCTCAGGGCTGGCACAGGGTTTACAATGGTCAGAAGTGAAAACAATTTATTGTAGCATTGCCAATCATGTACATTAAAAAGTCTTCATGTACATCCTCAAAACCACAGGAGAGATTTAGAAATCATGCAACCTTCATACGAATTTTGAACCTTAGAATTTGTAAGGCAAACTCCTCTTTACATGAATTTTTTCCCCTGTATTTCCAAATATTAGGAGTTGAGTTTTAAGAAAACACCAAGCACTGTAAAGTGGTAGAAAAAAAGATCACTGTCAGGGGGAAGATATAAGCAGACTTTTTGTCACTAGTGCACTATGTTTAATTGCACTAAATCTTTGCAGATCTTTTTCTGGGTTCCCAGCAAAGATTTATCCATCAGGATAGTTAAGCTGGTTTTCACTCAGTGTTTGGTTTCATTATTTCTGTATCTGTAACATGGTATCTCTTATTAGCACACTTTGGAGTGTTACACATTCATAGCGATGGATGACAGACTAACAGAAGTATATTTTGCAGTACACTTTTCTTGATTTTCTTAGTGTTTATTCATTTCTTTGTGTTCTAGTTTCTAAAGTGAATATTTTATATTGTGGGTGTGTGCTTTTCTAACTGAAACCGTTGTCTTTCATGTCATTGTTGCTATGGTGATACTCTGTTATATCTTGATATTCCTAGTTTTTTCTCATCTTTTCTTATACAGGCATTTTCCATGTCCCCCAAGTTCACCGAAGAACCTCTGTGTTGCTCTGGAAATTCAGTGCAATAATGGTGCAGTTTTTGTGGCTGGTAAAGTGATCTGTTTATTTCTGCTGCTGTGTTCTCTTAACCATAAACGTACATTTTCACAGAATGGAGATACGCAGTGCTTTTTAGCATTTTCCGAACACGCTGCTTTATTTCAGCTTACTTTGTTGCACGGTGATTTAATTTTGTTTCTGTGATTCACAGTTTATAGATTGAGATGAATGTTCTCGTATGACTGTATGTTGTCTTTAGTTTATGAAGAATTAAATCCAGAAGAATTTCTTCAATGCAGTGCAGTTTGTTTGCCTTTACAGAAGTTTAATCAGGATCTTAATTTTTTATCACAGTTTTAGTTTTTACTGCCCCCTTGACCTTATTGCTGGTGCTTACTGATCCCTTCTCCATGGGACTCATTTTTTATTGTTTAATAATGAAGAGATATATATTTAGGTATTCAAGAGAAGCTATCAAACTGAGAAACACTAGTTTTGCTTTTAGCTCCCTCTTGTTCAAATCAAAAGCTAAAATTACAGAACAGGTAGTTGAAAGAAAAAGAAAAAAGTATTATTTTCCTATTTCTGTTTTATGAAAAGAGAATTAAGCAGTATGAAGCTGACTTCTCAATGGTTATTCATAGTACTTTCATGATCTGCCCCAGTGAAACAATATTAGTCAATTTCCCCATCTTTTTATGTGTTTTTTTTTGGCAGATCAACATGCAGGAAGAAAACGTGGCTAGATATAGGAAAATATGATACTGAAAGTTTAAAAAAAAAAAAAAAAAAAAAAGGTGACAGAGATACAGATACAATATGCACAGCTACTTTGAAAGCCTTTTTAAATTTAATAAATGCAAGGTTTCAGTTACTTGGTAGCATAGGTTACTCATTGTTCGTTATGAGTAAGCTCCCTATTTTGCAAACATTTTCACTTGTTATAAAACCTATCAGTAGGAGAGCTCTTGTTCACCTGTGTCAGACTGGTTCTTGGTTGAGGTAGTCCTTGGGTCATGGGAGATTGCATAATAGTGTGACACAATATGAGGTTTGACAAATTGATCAGAGGATGGCAATCTCGTTACATAGCAACTTCTCAGAGTTTCTAAAATTTGCAATAGTTTATTCTTGAGAGATTGTGCGAGCATGATTTTCCTTGTGATAAGCCAAAGCATTCTGATTCGGGTTTCTTTTGTTAAACATTCGTGCAGTGGCAGAACTTGGGATTGAAGCCTGAACTACTTGATACAAGGGTGTATGAGAACTTCTTTACTTAGGAGATGTACGTTGGTGGGCAGGCATAAATATAGCAGAAGTTTGGTGTAGGGGAGACTGGCTTGATGCCATGTTCTGGTTCCACGAATAATTCCTCAACTTAGTTTACTCAGCCTGGGTACATGGGCCTCTTCTTTTTCATTCCAAGTTGTGTCAGGCTTCATACAGTTTTGTTTGCGTGGTTTTACCTGAAGGTTTGACTACAACAGTAGGGTCTCCAAGTCTCCTTTCAAGCTGGCTATCTTGGATACTGAAACTCTTGTAGGTCCAGGAGCATGAATTTGGTGTAGAACAAGTACGAGCAAGTATAAGTATGTTTATTTTCATGAGGCTTCTATGAAAGTTAAATGAGTTATGATACGAAAGGCTGAAGCTTTCATCCATTGCTTCAGAACAATTATAGGTACCACACTTGCTGTTTACAGGAAGGTACAATAAATATTCAAGGAATTTACCTCAAACTCCCTGGATTATTGATGGAGAGCGGAAGTTGGAATCTTCAGTGGAAGAACTGATTTCAGAGCATCTAATGGCAGAATTTAAAGCAGATAGTAAGTATCCAGGAGATCTTTTGCTGTATTTATTTTTAATTGCTACTCAGTTAATACAGCAGTGTAACAGAAAATGTTTTGTTTCTTTTTTCCTCTTTTACCCATCTAAGTCAAAGTGTCTACACAGTTGTGTTCTGTGAGAAGTCATGTAACTTTGGTTTATACAGTATTTTTTATCATTGTAAAGTATCTCCTCAGCTGAGCTGATGTAAACATGGTTTTATGCAGTAGTATTTTTGCCTGGCCATACTCCACAACAGTTGGTAATTCATTAAATGCCTCCTAATGCTGATAGTTTTTGCCGTCGGCATTCCATAATACTTGCTTAGTTTTCAGCCATTTCATGTTTCTTACCTTGATTAATTTTATTTTCTGCAGTGTGTAGAGTTCTAAATGCTTATCCAGGGATTATCCACATAAAATAATCATTTGTTGTATACTACGCTTGAAATTACAGACATAGAAATCCGAAGGACAAACTACATTACATATTGGTTTAGAACTACTTTCCCCTCCTTTTCTTCCTTGCTTCGGTTGGTACGTTAGCTTGAATACTGGAAAAATCCTCAAACTTTTTCTTCAATATAAGAACTGATTTCAGCGTGCAGAATTATGACAGGTGAATACGAGAAATATATGTAAATAATGTTGAGAAGCATTATAACCATACAGGACAGGCATATCCAACCCACAGCCTGCAGGCCGCATGCAGCCCAACGTGGCTCACAGTGCAGCCCCCCACCATCACCACCACACTGTGAAGGCAATGGCTCTTCCCCCCAGAGTGGCCCACGCATGGCTCAGCAGCAGCCAAACCTCAGCACAGTGTTAACCATGTGTTGACTGAAAGCAAGGCTCAGGAGAGCAGTGCTGTGCAGCGCTGACTGAAGTGATGGCAAACAGCTGTATGCCTTGTGATGCATTGGCTAAACGCAGGGCTCTGAACAGTGGAGAACACACAGCCGTGCTTTCTGTTTTGATGGAGTTGGAAAATAAAATAATAGAATCCTTAGAGAGAGTGGGAAGGGATCTTTAAAGGTCGTCTTGTCCAACTCCCTTGCAGTGAACAAGGACATCCACAGCTAGATCAGGTTGCTCAGAGTCCCATCCAGCCTGACTTGAATGTCTCCAGGGAGGGGGCTTCCGCCACATCTCTGGGCAACCTGAGCCAGTGTCTCACCACCCTCACTGTAAAAGACTTATTCCTTATATCTAACCTAAATCTCCCATCTTTAAATTTGAAAGCATTTCCCCTTGTCCCATCACAACAGACCCATAAAGAATCTGTCCCCTTCCTTCTTAAAGCCTCCATTTAGATACTGAAAGGCTGCTCTGAGGTCTTGTTGGAGCCTTCTCTTCTCCAGGCTGAACAGCCCTAGCTCTTAGCCTGTCCTTATAGTGGAGGTACTCCATCCTTTGGATGGCTCTCCTCTGGATGTGCTCCAGTAGGTCCACATCTCTCCTTTACTGAGGATTCCACATCTGGTCACAGTACTCCAGGTGAGGTTTCACAACACAGAGCTGAAGGGCAGGATCTGTTCTCTTGCCCTGTTGGCCACGCTGCTTTGGTTGCAGCCCAGGATACAGTTGGCTTTCTGGGCTTCGAGAGCACCCTGCTGGCTCATGTCAAGCTTCTCATCCGCAAGTACTCCCAAGTCCTTTTTGACAGGGCTGTGCTTAATCCTTTCATCTCCCAGCTTCTATTAATAGTGAGGTTTGCCTTGACCCAGGTGCTATGGACCTTCCCCTTGGCTTTGCTGAACCTCATGAGGTTCACTTGGGCCTACTGCTCACGCCTGTCTAGCTCTCTGGATGGCATCCCATCCATAATTAAGGGTCTGGAACATGTTTTGTACAAGAAAGTCCCAGCTCAGAAAATTCTGCTAGTGTTACAGACGTAACCAAGAGCAAGGGAGAATTTTCTCATTGTTGTTTTATTGCCACAGTGTGATTGGAGAAGTGAGGGATAACAAAAAATAGGAGATCTTCATGTGCTCTTGTATGTTCCGTGTGGGGCAAAAAAGTGAAACAGGTTTTCAAAGACCCTTTGGAGCAGAGCTGCGAAGCTACTTTCTAGTTCAGAGTTTGGTGTTCCCCTTCACTCCTTCAGGCAAAGCTTAAAGGTGGAAGGGATTTGACAAAGGAAACTAAATATGCAGCAATTCATAGATTGAATACGGGAAAGAAATACACAGAGGTTATCTTTCTGTCTGTGTTTTCTTCTGTCCAGGTGCATATGACTAGCAGAAATTTCTCTGAAACCCATGGGTGTATTTAGGATAAAAAGTTGTGTTTTGGATGAAGACAGCTTAGTTTGATTTTATTCATAGAGTTGAAGTATCTGGGTTAGACACGAACAAAATTAGTTAGTAAGTGGAACTCCTTTAGGATGGTCCTGCTTTGTTGGGCGGATTCAGGTTTGTCACATTCAGGCCAAAGAATTAGGAGTTCTTCAAGAAATTTGTGAACCTGAAGAAATAAACAGTAACTGTTCCCTGATTTGTTCTAATACAGTGCAGGCTTCATTTTATTAACATAACTATTTCTAGTATATTTTAAAGTAGTTTAGAATATCTCACCTTTTCAAAGCTGTGGTGGGTATTAAAATGTAAAATAAACTTCCTTGTTCAAATCTGTTATAGGCTTTAATTTTTCTTCCTCTGGAAGAGAAGACGTGGATGTGAGAACACTAGGCAATGGTAAGGCTAGAAACATCCTCAGTAGAGCACGCAAGCAAACAAGATGGTTAACTGAATTAACTTAATAGACCTTGCTGAAGGCTGAGTGCTTAAGTTGACTACACATACTTTGAAATTTTATCTTGGATACATTTTAGTGATGTTTATGTATTTGTTCCTAATGACTGAACCGTTTCACAAAAAGAACTGAAAAAGTAGACCTTTTTCCACTGTCCTGGCTACACAGATGCATGGAAAAGCACAACTGGTTAGAAGTATTTTATTTGCTTCCTGTTTTTATATCTTTTGTGTCAGACAGATTCCTGTCTTGTTTTCTGTTGAGCCCCTGTACTTTGCTTCACTGTCACTGGGGAAGACTCTGTTTTTTTGAACTTGGCTGCTTTTCTAAAGGTTGGTATTGGAAAATATGCTGAATCTACAATCCAGAGGAGAGAAGAAAAAGTGAAGACTAACAATGATGTGTTCTAGTTGCTGACTGATTTGTAGTGCAGTTCTTGGCACTGCTTATAGTGGGGATCATCCCTGGCCCTGAGCATAGAAAGTGCAGCTCTTGCAACAGATGTTTAGCTGAGGGAGTGGGATTTAACATCATCTTGTGCCTGGGCATTGCTATAGGTGACAGAAAATAAGCTAATTAACTTTTTTTCTTATTTTATTTTTTAATTAGCACAGACTTCTACAAGATGCCTTCTGGGAAGTAGTAATTTGCACTTATTGCTGATACTATGGTTTAATAGCCAAAAAAATCCCTTAGTTTCTTTCCTTCCATCTGATGCTACATCCCTAAACCCACAAGTTCTTATCCCTCTTTGCATAACAGCAGACAATTTTCACACCTTCTGACCTTACTGCATAAATTCAAACTTTAATTTAGAACAATATGTTTTTATATTTTATGATTGTGCATGTTTCCAGGAAGGCCTTTTGCAATTGAGCTTGTGAATCCTCATAGAATACATTTTACTGCTGAGGAAATGAAGGGACTTCAGCAGGTAAATAATTTGCACCTTGTGGAATTCATAGAGTATGTATTTCTTCTCTAGCTGAGCAGTTTTCCTAACTGATTCTTTTTTTTTTTTTTTAAATCTCACAGACAATTAATAACTCTTCAGACAAAATACAGGTCCGAGATTTACAACTTGTCACCAGGTCAGTATTTATTATCACTGGCAAGGGATTTTAGTGTGATGCTTTGGGAGTTTTGCAAGCATTCTTGCTCACATCATTATAAGATTATTTGTATGGTGTGTGAGCAATTCATTTCTTTTGTTTAGAGAGGCAATTGGTCGTATGAAGGAAGGTGAAGAGGAAAAAACAAAGACCTATAGCGCCTTAATATGGACAGACAAAACAATACAGAAAGAACATATTGCATTTCTAGATAATATCAAGGTATGTGTAGCTCTTTTTGGTAATTTATGTAGTGCCTTTCCTGGTATCTTAGAGGAGAGTTTATATGAATGCACTCATGGATGTATTTCTTTCTCTGTTGCTTGTTTTTGATCAAGATTCTAGGACTTTTGTACCTCTTTTCACTTCCCCCTTCTCACTCATTTCGTCATTGCCATGTCAGCGCTACAGTTGTTTGTTAGCCAGGACAAATTACCGTATAATGTTGGCCTTTCAGTAGACCAGTTAGTAAAAAATAATGGAAGAGGGGGAATTCTGGCACTCCTATCTTTCTCTCAAATTGTGTGTTAAGTAAAAGGAATGGTGATGGTCTTGTTCTGCATGTTCTAAAGCTGTTCTTTCACAGCTGCAGCAGTTAGGAGTTTGTAAGGCCTATGGAAACTAGTGCAAAAAGACCTAACCAAGTGCTCAGTGTGACAGGTGGGCTTTGCCAATAAGAACTCCCTCCAAATGTAGGTCAGAGAGGCGATGCTGGTGAAGGAATGTCATCAGTTTTTGTAGCATTGCACTGTTGCCTACAGGCTTTGGCCATGAAATGATTCTCAGCTGTGGGCTAAAAACACTACAGTTCAGGATAACAACTGTTGTGAGCTGTTTCTGGTGGTGGTTCGTTGTTTTTTTTTTTAAGCACGCCTACCCACTTCCTGAAAGGTTACTTTTCAAACTGCATCTCATCTGGGGAAGCGGATGAGAATAGGGAATGAGCTTTTAAAAAGTCTATTGTGAGATCGTATTTCAGTTTGTTTCTTCTAGCTCTCTCTGTTGTTTCTAAAGCTGTGCTTTAGATAATGCATTTTGTGTGGGGGATTTTTATTTTATTTTAGATCGCCTGAGGCTCTCAGTGTGACTTTAAATCCTGGAGTTATTCCAACAAATGACCATTGAGATTGCAAGATTATTCTGTATTTGTGATTCCATTACACTGTCTTTATATGAGACCTTCTCATATAGCTTTTGAGATGGCTGTTCTTTTTTCCTTTGGTAAACATAAATGAATAAATAAATAAATAAATAAATAAATAGTCCTTCCATGAGGAGATTTCTCAACTTAACACAGAGTAAGAAGAGATGTGATTGCCTAATGCTCCATGTGCCTTTACCTCAGTCTGTGCAGGATGTTGCATGCTTCCTTCCTCAGTTATTTGCCTCTTGTAATAGGAATTAAAACTTGACCAGAAGACACCACTCCGGGTTCTCCATAGAAGGCCTCTGGCTTTAAGATGTCGAATCATTCACACCATGAAGTCTGAGTACATAGATGAGCATCACTTTCGCCTGCATCTGAAAACACAAGCAGGAACGTATCTTCAGTGCTGTTACTCAACACATCAATGTTGGTTGTTGATTAGGGTACTGTAAGCAGTGGGAAGTTTCTTGCTTTTACCTTTGCAATGTTTCTAAATCTGCTCTTCAGCAGTCTCATGTTGCTGATGTTTGTTTTTATGTCAGAATTTCACATTCAGTTGTGGGGTGGGTTTTTTTGTTGGTTTTTTTTTTTGTTTTTTTTATGACTACTCTGATAGCTCTAAAGTGTGTGATATCTACATAAATGTATTGGTTAAAGGTACACTTAAGCCCCTTTTAATTCAAGTGGAAAATTTTTACCTTAGAAAATAACTTTTCCACAGTACTTAATGCCCTGTAATGCATATTGTGGATTGATTATACTCAGAAGCTTAGCCGTAGTTGCCACACACTTTGGAACAGAACATAAAATAGAGACTGATAATACAATTTTTGGGAGTGGAGTCAAAAGCCAAGAATGAGCAGTCTTTTAAGGTGGGCGTGGGCTTAGCGGATGTCCATTCTCCTCTCCCCTCTTCTCTTCTTCCCACTCTTTTTTTCTTTCTTTTTCTTTTTTTTTTTTTTTTTGAGTTCTTTGTGGTGAAACAGACCTTTCCTTAACCACTGTTGTTAGCTATGTTAAAGAATTTGTGCACGGAGACTTTGGAAGAACAAAGCCAAATATTGGCTCCCTGCTGAACAGAACCACGGACATTCTGGAGTTGGACGTAGAAGTGAGTTGTTCATTCTTTTTCACTTTCCTGGAAATCAGTGATGTAATTGCATTTGTGAGGCTCTTTCAGTGAATTTAGTCTAACTAAATCAACATTTTTTACCACAGTTAATAGAAAATTTGACATTTATGCAAAGACTGTGGTTTGTACTGTGCTGCCACGTGCTTTTGTCATGTGGGATTTCCTCTGCTGAGAAAGGGGAAGGATGAGAGGATGTACCTTGAATTCATGACACTTATTATTAGTATCCATTGGAACAGAACCTTTTCTTTTCATATTATGTTTACATCATTTCTTTTGAAAAAGGAGTTGGATGAAAAATAGGAAAGAGTTGACTTCCTCTTTTACCACTGGTTCAAACTAAATATAAGCATTCACTTAGCAGAGTCAGATTGGGTAGATAATAACCTGTAACTACAACATTTATTTTGATTAAAAGAATGTATGTTGTGATTTGAATTTAATATTGAACCTGGTGGTTTGGCAAGGTCAATTTAAAACATAAGTTTTCACTTCTGGTAGCCAGTTATCAACACGCTTGTTTTAATATATTTCCAGAATACTGTCTAAATGTTACTTCTTGCAGAACAGACTTGCAGATTTTTGTGTATCTTTGGTAGGATAATACAGAAAGAGAGCTTGCAGAGGACACTTCAGTTAGTGTCCTCCTGAAAGCAGGAGTGCCTAACTTGGCCAAGGCTGATAAGCATTGCTCTTGCACGGCTCACACTTTGAACTAGCAGCTTTGCACACTCAGCAATGCCGCCCGACACGCTGGGCAGCTGTAGTACAAGTAGTTGCAATTCTGCTTTGTAAAAAAACCCTTGCTCCCAGAAAATGCTCTGCAGACACTCGTGAGGCCATTGGAAGAAGGTGGCTGTTTCCTGCCACTTTCTCCTCGTCACATCATGTCTATTTACCGTTGCTTTCCAGCATTAACCTGTAGCTGACAAGCACAAAGATGGTATTCTATCAATAGGAAGAGACTTCCAGAATCTGCTCATCTTTACCTTCTTTTCCTGCTCTTCTAGTCTGTGGACATTGACTGGCCTCCAGCCCTGGAGAATTAGCTTCACGAGTTGGGATGTCACACAGCAGCTCCCTGGTCAGCAGCAGTTTACTGAAGGCTGTACAGTACTACAACTTGGTTACAAAGTATTTTTGTTGAACATTTGGATCATGTTGATCTGCCAAAGGACACTGCTCCTTTGATCAACTCACTCAGGTGGTGGTCATTCAATATCTAGCTTTTTTAAAATGTTCTTCTCTGCGTACAGCGATTTTGGCAAGCTAATGTATTGATAACAAATCTTTTAAAAATCTGCAAAGAAAAACAAATGGTGTGCTGAGTAGGTACAACAAATGTGCTTAATGCAGTACTGTTTGAAATGTTTAATTAAAAAAAGTTAACCGATACAGCTAGATTTTTTAATTATTATTATTGCTTTTATATTTAATGCTGCAGCTTTCTGATCTGGGTGCGAACAGCACTGAATCACCTGAAATGCAGCTCTAACACTTTCTGAGCACTACTCGTGCAGGGCTGTTAACCAAGCCCACAGGACAGTGCCTGAAGGAGGTGTTCTGCCCTGTGCCAGCTGCTTTTTGATCAGCGTTGGTTTCAGAGATGGGCAGATGTGCTTCCCACAGCACTTTTCAAAGCAAGAAGAGTTTCCAAATAAGAACTTTGCACTTAAAATCAAGTGTCTCTCATTTAAAAACACCAGTGATGTTTTGTAGAAACTCCATTTGAGGTGTTTGCCTCCTCAGCAGCTCTTTAGCTGAATTACAGGCCTCTTCAAGCATAGGATTTCCCTGAGTTACCGTCAGGCTGGGGATTCCTGGCAAAAGTGCGTGGTGGAATCCTAGTGAAAAATAGGGATACCAATAAACTCAGGAAATTAAGGTTTGGACTTTAAGAGCTCTTCATTAATGAACATTTCAGAAATAAAGGGTGATTATTTTTCAGGGAAAACAGTGGGGGCAGTGAAAGATTACGGAGATGTTACCATGAAGTCAGTGGTGCCAGGACCTCACAGAACAGCTAGGTGGTAACTGCAGGTGAAGGCTCAAAAGGCCCATGTAAAAACTCATCAATTAGCCTGAATTTTACATACTCTGTCATGGGCTATCAAAACTTTCCTCGTTTGTTTTCCTAGTCCACAGTGACATAACAAAGCATAGGAGTTGTTCAGAAGGTCCCATGTTTTAAATGCAAAAATGAGTCATGATTCAGACAGCAAGATTCTCTCAATTTCAGTCATAGGGCTGTTATGAGAACTGATCCTAGGAGTAGTTGTCTCATACATAAATCTTTGCCCAGAATGGAACTGTTGTGAACGATGGATATCTTCAGAAACTATTCAGGAAAGAAGGAAAAGAAAACTTCAGGCTACTGTGTTATTTCTTGACACAAATGGTGTATAAGTTCTATACACTGGGAACACACGTAGGCTGGACAAAACAGACATTAGAAGAGGTGTCCCAAAGGGGAAATGGTGCTAACTGGGACTTCTGCTCCTGTTACAGTTCAGAGACACTTCATCTTGTTTTCAAATGTAAAATACCTACTTGTGAATACTCCAGTAGGACATTTCCTAAGAGTAATAAGAGCAAGATTTAATTTTGTTCTTGTGGTAAACGTGAAACAGTAGATGTTTTCTAGCAGATTACGTGTAAATGCTAAAATCTAAGAGCCAGTGTTTCTTATCATATTTCTTCATACCAGAAGGACTTGGATGAAGCTGTTGTACTTCTCCAAGTAGCTGCTCACCCAAAGCAAACCCCCTGCTGCACGAAGCTGTGCCAGTAGCACAGCCTTGGCTGAACATGAGTGCCTCTGTCCTCCCTGTCCGTCAGTCATGCTACTGTGCCACAAAGAACTGCCAAGTGCTGAGGACTCCTTACTGCACCATGGCCAGCAGCAGTTGTGAATGTAACGTAAAATATTCTAGGAAGACCCAGGACGAGCAACCCAAATCCCAGCAGCTCTGCGTGGCTTCTCTAACATGTCTTGTAATGTTGCAAGGCTGAGAAGGCTGAAGAAGCTCAGGACTCAGTATAACCAGTTCTTTAATTACCAAACCAACTTGTTTACAAAGGAAAACAGAATTTTGAAAATATTTAATTATACTGTAAAAACAAATTGTGCTATAAAGAGCATTCTATAAAGAAAATGTTTACATTCAATAAACTTAAACATTGAGAACTTAAAAAGGAAGAACTGAATAAATGACACATTGCAAGCGTTCTTTGTATCTCTTTCATGCTCCCGGAAAGGTGTGTTGCAGGAGTGAGAAAAACTGCTGTAAGTGTGGAGTTGGGTACATGGGGTGATGGGAAGCAGTTTTCCAGACTTCATTTGTACACCGTGGAAGAGCCCCTTCTGTCAGACCTGTGAAACTGATGTAATGCCTTACAGCTGCAGCACCTCATGGCTCTGCACGCAGTGAATTACTGCACTGAGTAATTGCTGCTTTCCCTTAAACCATGGAGGTTTTTGGAGTTCCTTTCTATCTGGTGTGTGACTGTACATCTCAAGTGGCTTTTTGTCTTGTGGTTGTGGTTTCTGTTCCCTACATATCCAAGCATGCTATTTATTGCTTTTTTCCATGGTGCACTTTTAGATAGTCAAACAGTAAAAATTAGGTTCTTAAGCCTACACAATAACCAGCCGTATAAATAAATACACTGATATATTTCTTGCTGTGATGCTTCGTACATCAGCAGTAAAATAGCAAAGCCCTAACACAGACCTGAGTGCCTTACCTAGCCAGATAGCTACACGAGGTGCCACGGGACATCCTGTGCCTCAGGCCTTGGTGTGGAGACTGGGAAGCTAGCAGAAGAGAGGAAGCTCTGGTTCTCGATACCGCGGACTGAAGGCTGTTTTAATTGACACCGATTGGAACGGCCTCGCATTGCTGACACAGCGCGTTGGGGTGGGCTGCATTTCACCTCTTCCCGTGAGGGCTGGTAGGGAGTCAGACCTGAGCCTTTCAGCAGTCACTTGCATAGCAGGAAACTGCTGGGCCGTCTGAGGAAGGAACGGGCAGGTGCTTTGACTGCATTTCTGTAGTTCAAAATAAAATGCGCATCGTGGCTACACACACACACACACCAAACAAATTCCGGAGAAATAACAGCGTGCTCCATTCCTAAAGCAACAGGGATTTGTCATTTAAAATAGTGCACTCGGGATGAAGTGCAGAGAAGTCCTTACTTTCTGCTCATTCTTCTGTGCAGTGTTGCATTTACAACAGAGCTGGACTATTTAAAAACTCAAACCTTCCGGTCTTTAAAACATATCTAACAATGACATAGTCATTAAATTTCTTTAGAGTAAATTTGCCTTGAAAGCAAATGGAATGTGGTGAAACATGGAAAAAAAAATAAAAAATCAATGCATGATTTTGTTTTAGGAGAAAAATATTTTATATGAAAGAGGGTAAGAAACCTAAATCTTTCAAGCAAGATGAATAAAATATGTTAGGTGAGTCTGAACTAGAGTGCCCACGTGCAGTTTTTTCCTACTTTGTCCTTCTGAAATGTTAATTTAATTTCTGTAGCAAAATGTTTTATTTTTAGACAGTATTAACCCTGTGAATTATTGGAAATCTGACCCTTCTGAAGATATCAGCTTTTCTTCCCAATGCTTTAAGTATTAGTAATTCCTTTTTCCAACACCATACAAATGTTTAAGAAGAGCTTTGAAGGTACAGCACCCCAAATGCTTCTTCATGGGCACCAGTCTTTGGGCTGATCGATATACGTATAACTTTAAGTTGTATCATGAGGTTTGCACAGTAGCATTCTGAAAGAGAAAGAAGGGTGAGTTACTCCTTGGAAAAGCTCTATGTGCCTGCCTCAGCCTGCTGCTGGCTCAATGGTTATAGCTTTGTAGCATGTTGGTGTCTAACTGGAAAGACTGATAGAGCTCATCGGTGTGGACACCATCGGTGTCGTAGAACTGGTCATCTGTAAGGGTGAGGCTGTTCTGATGGTTCTGGAGAGGGTTGGTCGATAGTCTTGAATCACTTAAAACTTCTTGGTCTAGAAAGCTGCTGTAAACTGCTGTATCAGCTAAATTTGGTTGTGAACTGAAGGCAGTGCTGCCAGGGGCTGCCACAGGTGGGCATGTTGCAGGCACCTGATGGAGCTGCTGCCTGTGGTTGCTTACGTTTAACACCTGAGTATACTTTTCAAAGTTGAGACTGGTGCAGTTCATGTCACTGGTCTCCATGTTGATGATGCTTGCAGCAGTGGCACCAGCCTGGTGACCGGCGTGGACGATGCTGCTACTGGAAGCACTCTGCATGTCTGCAGCTGACACCATCGCTGCTCCCATCCCATTTGTGCTGCCAAAATTCCTGTAAAAACTGGAATCCTTCTCATCGGGCCAGTTCAGTGGGTTATCGTGGAAAGCCGGGACAGAGCTACTGCCCTGAGCACCAGGCTGAGGCACTTCTGCTGTGAAGCTGTTGTGCGGGTGCATGCTGAGCAGGCTGCTGGCTGAAGGGGACGGGCTGTACAGCTGCTGCCAGCAGGAAGGGAGTGTGTCCTGCTTCCCAGGGCCAAGCTGCGCAGGCTGGGTGGGCATCTGGCTGCACGCAGGGAACATCTGACTGGAGCTCCCCAGCGTTCCTAGCCCAGGCAGCATCAGCGTAGGTGAGAACATATTTGGCTCTGTGAAAAGGAAAGATATTACTGAATTCTTATACCATTTTTTATGTTAAGCTACAGATGGTTAAAAAAAAAAAAAAAAAGCAAAACCAGTGCTAGCTCAATGTGATTACATGTGGACCAGCACTTGCTTTAATGCTGTCCAGGCGCACTGTACTTCTAGACAGCTGCCTTGTTCCCCTTCTAAGAGAACAGCTTACATTTAAATAAAGAATGGTAGGCTTACTTTACAGGAAGAAAAACCTTGAGAAAATATTACAGGTTCCAAGCAAAGAGATGGGGAGGCCTCATGTCTGAGCCTTATATCTGAAAGAAAGTGTGTGAACCTAGCAAAAATCAGCACTTAACTAAAGCTACATTTAAGTAGCAACTAAAGCAAGTAATCCTTAAATAGGCTTCTAATGTAATTTTGATTTCATTTAAATTTAATCTTTATGTTGAAAGCACTATAGTGCTCTCCTGGGGAAAGAGAAAGTTCCAGCTGAGGAGTAGTGAGAGACTGTACTGCAGCTGCCTTGGGAACTTCAGTGCTCCCTCCTGAAAGCGCCAGCCTCTCCCCTCAGCAGTCAGACACTGCTTGCTTCCATCTGCTGCTGGATTGGGACACGCGAGCAGAAATTTACCTTTCTTAATCAGCTTTCCTTCAGGGTTGACAGTGGGGACAGGAGCTGCTTTTGGCCTCTCTGTCACAGCTGATCCTGTGACAGAAGAAAGCATGAATTCACTTTGAAGGTTTGCTTCTGAACAAAATGATTCTTCGTAACTGTTAAGTTCACTCAGACCAAAAAAAAAAAAAAAAAGAGGCTGAGTATTTTCCTTACCACAGTCCTGTATGAGCTTTTGCCAAGCCAGCGTTGATCTCTGCCTTTTTGCTTTGTTACCATACGGATCTACAATGAAAGGAGCGGGATGAAAAACTGTTAATTAAAATACCTTTGGAAATAATTTGTGAAAAGAAGTTTCTAAAACTTGACTAGTGGCTCCCTGTTGTAGTAAAATGTATTTAAAGAGAAATATTTGAGATATGGCTATACTCTAAAAAACCGAAGAAGTGTTATTAACCATAACTCTTGATATTTTCACTGAAAAAGAGAGCAAATTGGCTACTGTTAGTTTTAGAAAAAACTCCAAAATCTATGTTGTAATAATTGTATAGATTTTTTTTTTTAAACTCAGTAGGTTACTGTTCATTGTCAACAAGAATTCTGCACTGAAAACAACCTTTAAGGAAGCCAGCTAATGGGACCCATACCCTTTTCATCTGGTAAATATCTGAAATCCATTGGTTCACTGACTTCCTGGTCTGAAGGTCTTCGCAACTGCATCTTCACTGTGATGGGTTCTGTGATGTCTCTGAGGAAAGGCGGTGTTCTGAACACAATTGCGACCTGGCGATGAACATCAGCTTGGGAGAAGGAGCCTTTTGCCTCCCAGTTGTCCAAGACAAATCTGACTTCTATGTCATCTAGTTCATTAGAAATAAGATCCTTGTTAAGCTGAAGAAAACTGAAAACTTGCAGCAGCAGCAAAGGTGGGAAGGGGAACAAAGAAAGGAATCAGACTCCAAACTCAGAGCCAAATTAAATGGTTTGACTTTAAGGCACAGAATATTTTTCAGAGGTATTTAGAGCTCCTGATCCTGGAATTGATTCTGCTCAGCTAAAAGCAGTCCACTTAGATAGGAGTACAGTGGAGAGTTTCAGTTTCTCAGCTAGAAAGTGGAGTGTTAGCCATTTGGAGTAAGGGAAGTCCTAGCCAAGGTTACCTTTTTGAACTTTGTCACACAGAAGAAAAATTTCATCTCCTCCCTTTACACTTCCACAGTTCTTATTCACACGACAAATTCTCAGTTCTGCTGTGTTGGGAGCTCCTGGAAACAAACAGACAAATTTGATCATAAATAATCACTATAACTTTGTCACTATTGAAGGGGAGGTGCTGGTAATTAAGTGTACATAAAGGGAACACAGCAGCTGGAGGAGCGTAAATCCACACCAAAAATGTCAGTCCAGCAGGGCTTGATGTTCCACGCAAATACAGTGGCAGCAAGGAAACGTGGCTCTTACTGCTCTTGATCACTTACCTCAAACAGAGATTCCAGCACAGCTGTGCCGCTCACTCTGTAAAGGGCCACCTTCCTTCCCCTTAAGTGGGGATGTGACACTCCCTAACTGTTCTAGAATAGTCTCAAAGTATTTTCCCACATGACAAAGTTGTGCTCAGCACTTCTGCCCTTCTTCAAGCTGTAGAATCAGAGCAGTTTTCTGAGTGACTGGTTACAAGTTGCAGTCACACTTCTCTGGAAAATGCTGGGCTAGCAAGTCAAGAAAATCCCCTCAAGTGTGCAGTTGTAGTTCTATTCACAGCTTTATCTGGCAATCAAAACTCTCCTCCCTTACCCCATCTAGGCAGTTGAAAACAGATCTAGGAGCCTAACATTCAAAACTGCTGGAAGTTGAACCCCAGACTCACAGCATAGTTCTGCAGATTGCAACAAACAGCACTGCAGATTGCAACAAACGAAACACAACCAAAGTTTGCACACTGTGTCTTGAACAGCCTGGTTGCTACACCAAAGCCCTGACCAGTACTACTCCTGCGTCTGGCTCAGGTCAACAACAGCAGTCTGCAGGGTAAATGCAGACAAAAAACTGAATGAAGGAACAACAGGTCCCTCACCATTTTGTGGGTGGTGTCACAATTTATTTAAAAGGGCACTAATGTCCCAGTATAATGATTCATAAGTGTTAAAAAAAATTTTAAAAAGCCAGAGTGAAAGAACTCCCTAGACCTTCAAGTAAACCTCCTGTGCATATATGTTCTGTTGGTGCTTTCAAGTATATGAGCACATACCCATTTTAAGACCCCCTATCCATTTAACATACAAAGTAACTGCTATCACAAGTGACCATATTCCTTATTTCCTGAATCATTTCCTGCTCTCTAATCCCAACAGAACGAAACTACACTGTCCTGCAATGTTCTCCAGTTTCATTACATCAAAACTCCCAACTCCAGATGTACTTTAATGCCCTTCATCTGATGCTGCAAGGTAGGCCCTGTCTGGCTCCCTGCTCCACGCACAGAGATGAAACACAGAACTCAAGGTGTCACACTCAAAAAATGGAAAATCTACTTTGGAAGATCAGTTTAAGTCAATCCTTGCCTGACATTATTTGGCCCTGTGTAGGGAACCTGCAGCACCATACAGGCTATGTTCAGAACAGACCTCCTGGTAACCTTGGGCCAGAGCCCAGGGACACAGTTGCTGCCTGCACTATTATCATCCTCATCAACAGAAGTGGGTGCTACAGCCTCAATGACCACACGACACTTCATTTCTGTATGAATCAGAAACTTCGAAGGGAGGGGAAAGAAAACCATACCAGAAGCAGTACAGGATCATATGACTGGCAGTGTAGTTGTTCGTTTTTCAAAGGAAGAGTAAATTAAGAATTGCGAGGAGAAGCTTAATTTTAACTTGGTTTCACTTCGGTAAGCTTGAACAGCACTCTGTGCTTTCTAACAGGCTTTAGGGAAGGGGTTCTAACCTGTGGTTGCTGGTTTTTGTTTGTTTGTTTGTTTCTGTTAACCACTGTAGTGGAATCTAGAAGGGAAAAGGAAAGAAACCCCAACACTGGCAGACGCCCCGCTGCCGTCAGCCTGAGCGCTGGGAAGGACAGTGAGGGAGGTGGGAGCCCAGAGGGAAGCTGCCTGCGGGGCCACTTGTGCCACCCGGCTCCCACGCCCGCCTCCCCACCTCTTCAGCTCTGCTCAGTTCCTGTTCCTTAACCCCTGACAGCATGTCCTCAGCAAGTACATGCAACTTGTCACAGACAAACTACCATTTTCAACAACAGCATGAGAACATGCTCTTCCCAACTTCTCAGAAACAATAAGCTGCTTTCTATGACTCTTCCCAAGAGTTTTGGGGGTGGTAAGACAGACAACTTGGGAGATTTTTGTTCAAAAGCAGCTAACATTATAAAATAACTGAAAACAGAAACTGCCTATCATAATGGACTTTGTAAACTTTCAGTCTCTGCTGACATCGCTGCTTCTACATTATATTCCGATTATTCTTATTCATGTCTGCTACCCAGACTGGTGATAGAGAATAAAGAAAAGACTGGATTTAAAATCTGAACGTGATTTTCAGAAAAGCTCTAAGTATGTTTTTGCTTCTGATCTCAATAGGGCTGCAAAAGCTTGAAATAATAACACAGGATTCCCAAGCCCAATGTAATGGGCTTTGGATGTAATTTTTATCACTTATCCAAAGTGGTAACCTGAGTTTACTCAGTATTCTATGACAGAGCTGATTTACAAAGGCTTTCTTTATTTGTTTTTTTTTTTTCAAGAAATTCTGCTCATTTCAGACAAGAGCAGCATAACTTTTGTGATTTTGTGGTTGCAGTTATGCACTATTTACACTGCTGCTATGTTACATGGAGGATTTTAGATACCTGCAGTGAATCAGAATCTGCCCACATATACCCACATTAAAACCCAAGCTTCCCCTCTGTGCAGCTGCCATTTCAGCAGCTTAGCAAAGAATGACGTCAATCAACACAGATGACTAATTGTGATTTGGCATTTTTTTAAATGGCATCTGAGATGTAGCTGCAAATCCTGTGTATCGACTCTTTCTCAACCCAAATTATTACTACAAGTGTTCTCAGCCAATTTCAACTTCTAGGTAATTCTAGATACACAAAAAATGCTTGAGTTCATATTAAACATTTTCATAAAATAAAAGACAAAGGGTGGTGATCAACGGCTCTGTGTCCAGGTGAAGGCCAGTAGTGAGTGGTGTCCCCCAAGGGTCTGTTTGAGACCGGTGCTCTTCAACATCTTTATCAATGACATCAGTGATGGAATCAAGTGCACCCTCAGCAATTTGCTGATGACACCAAGCTGAGTGGTGCAGTCGACACAATGGAAGGAAGGGATGCCATTCAGAGGGACCTCAACAAGCTAGAGAGGTGGGCCTGGGTGAACCTGATGAGGTTCAACACAGCAGAGTGCAGGGTTTGGCACTTGGTCTGGAGGAATCCCAGGCATCCATACAGACTGGGAGGAGCGGTCCTTGAGAGCAGCCCTGCAGAGGAGGACCTGGGGGTTCTGATAGATGAAAAGCTTAACGTATGGGAACTGCTGAGTCACGGCCTGAACCTCTGATTAATCACCTGAGGCGAGCAATGAGTCAGCCAGAGGAGCACAGGTGAAGGCAATTCACCTGTGCTGCCTGGCTCCACCCCCTCCTAGACCTATTTAAGAGCTGGATACCAGTGGGGAAGGAGCTCTACTGGAGATCTGCTCTGCTGGAGTTTTGTGGGCCCAGGATACAGGTAAGCTTTCTGTCTATTCTCTTTTTGTTATCATAATCTGCTTTGCCTAACCCTCTTGTTGATTTTGTAATTATAATGTCTTAATAGTCATTGATTATACATTCAACATGAGCCACCAGTGTGCTCTTGCAGCTTGGAAAGCAAATGGTGTCCTGGGTTCCATCAGAAGAGGGGTGGCCAGCAGGGACAGGGAGGTGATTGTTTCTCTCTACTCTGCTCTTTTGAAGCCCCTGTGTCCAGGTCTGGGGACCACAATAAAAGAAAGACAGGGAGCCATTGGAGAAGGTCCAAAGGAGAACCACAGAGATGTTTAGAGGGCTGGAGCACCTCCCCTATGAAGGCAGGCTGAGGGAGCTGAGCTTCTTCAGCCTGGAGAAGAGAAGGCTGCGGGGTGACCTCATTGCAACCTTCCAGTACCTGAAGGGAGCCTACAAAGAGGAGGGGAAATGGTTTTAAGCTGAGGGAGGGAAAATTTAGGTTGGATATGAAGAAAAAGTTCTTCTCTGATAGAGTGGTAAGGTGCTGGAACAGACTTGTCAAGGGAGGCTGTAGGTGCCCCGTCCTGGAGACGTTCAAGGCCAGGTTGGATGGGGCCCTGGGTAGCCTGGTCTGGTATTAGGTATGGAGGTTGGTGGCCCTGCCTATGGCAGGGGGGCTGGAGCTTGATGGTCTTTGGGGTTCCTTCCACCCCAAGCTATTATATGATAATGCTTATGTGCACATCACTGAAATTCTGCACGTCAATAGTATAAAATGCAGATCTCAGATTAAGCTGTATCTTCCACTAAATAACAAATCTTCACCTTACATACAGGAGTACTTTCACTGCAGAAATAAAAATCAATGCAAAAAAAAAAAAATTTGTTGATCATTAACTCCTCTGCTATTCTTCTCCAAAAGAAATCCAACGAACACTGGAAGCCAAAATTCTCAACTGAAATCACATGGAAGTCAAGTCTTACAGAATGTGGAAAGTGGTATTAGGAAGAGGTGTGTTGTACTTCTGCATCCTTCTAGATCACAGCCAAACATTCTCTACTTAGTCTGTCTACACTGAAAATAGCAATAGGATACAAAAGTGCCTCCGAGGGCTAGAAGAGCTCAAAAGCTCAGACTCTGTCCTGGTGTTTTTCATCTCAAAGTGAGGGGGAGGGAAACATGAGAGGGGAGCGCTTTTGACTGAGTTGTTACTTACTGTTGTCATAGATAGGGTTGGAAATCAAAGGAGGAAGAGCTAATGTGTAGTTGCCATGTTCATCAGGGAGGAAAGCTTGGAAACAGAGGCGGACAACGTTGAGATCGTACTCATCAATGTTGTGCAGCTGCTCCTCAGGCACTGAATAGCAAAAAGAAACACAAGACTGAGAAATAGTCTTCAAAAACAACAATTAAACAAAGTAATTCTTTAAGAATCTTTAAGAATCTAGTCATGTCTCCACCAGTAAAAGAAATTATCCAATTTCTAGTTGTTGCCAAAGCAAAGGAAGTGTGTCCATAGCATTCTACAGTACTATGCATGAATAAATTCCTTGTATACAAAAAAAACACTACAAAAAAAAGTCTTAATACTTTTCTTTGATCGAGCAAGACTAAATCTGAAGTAAGCAATGAAAACTTCCCTTCAAAGAAGTCAGTCATCATGTTTCTACAAAGGTTTGTTCTTTGACTGCATTATCCCATGGGTGAGTTCAGATGAGACAAATTGAGCCTCAGCACAGCTGCCCCTGAGCAGCAGGCATCAACCAAGATCCTCTACCTTCACCGTCCTCTTTTCCTGGTCGTAAACTTGTTCCTTGTGTCCTTGTGTCCAGTTTCTTTACCTCGCCTTCCAGACTGGTTTCATGTATTTATAGTTTTGAAGTCATTCTCTGGATGCATCTCTGACTTGTGCATAATGATATTTAAAAAAGGAATGCCCTTGGAAAAAGAAGTACTTCAGCACAAAGAAGTCCTAGGATCTAGCTAAAAATTTGCAGCAAGTGAGAGATTTCTGCTGTGTGACAATGGTTATTTTCCTCTAGAGACTGAGATGAAAAATAATCCAGTTCTTGGGACAAGGATGAAGGTTGAACAATACAGGCTATCTACACTTTCCCAGCAAAACCAGTATCACTCTTGAACCTGGGTACAGTGATTACTGGTGTCTTTATAATATACTTCTCTAATCCAATGAGCAAACCCTAGCTGGAAATAATGTTTCCTCATAAATTCCTTTCAGTGTAAAACACAGTAATAAATAACCCCAGCTCAGCATATCAGTTTTGTTCATGAGTTTACTTATTTTTATTTTGAAATACAGGACCTAAGATATAACCATCAAACATTCAATGTACTCCCAGTTTCATGGGTAATTGGCAGAATAAACACTATCTGAAATCAATGTTTTTCTTTAAGGCCTGACATTAAATTATTGTGTTAACACTCAATGGTAGCAAAATGAGAATCTGATTTAATTTCATTTAAGTAGAAGCACTAGTAATTAAAATCACTTGAAGCAGTTTTCTTTTCCAAAATTGCTCAATGCTGCAGTCCAACATACTCATACTCTTTATAATTGCCTAAAGTGAATGTGCATCGAGTCAGCAGATCACAGCTTCTGAAGTTCACTCCCTCTCCAGCCCTTTCAAAGGCCTCTTGAAGAAAAAAAAATTAAATGTGTTTGTGATAAGAACCCCGTGGATCACATTATAGTGATTAGACTGCAATGTTCTGACCTTTAGCATTTATCACTGGGCTGGTCTCCACCCTGCCATGAGTGGGATTCCACAGTGCCCACTCAAGCGATTTCTTCCTTTCACCTTTTGATAGTGTGAAACAACCAATGCTGAGCTCAGAATACTTTCCACTGGCATTTTTAGTCTTTCTTGTGTTCTGAATTATCTCCGTTTCTCAGTAAAAAGAAATCAAATCACCTTTCTGTTTTACAAGCCTGCAATCAGCAGTCTTAAGACAAATACTGGTCAGTTCAAAATTAAGCAGCAACTTATTGTATTGTAGTCCCAAAAATGCTGGCACCCAGGGAAGTTCTGTCTGCATGAGCTCTGCAGGTTTCTGTTTGGCTCTGTTACCAGATATGCAGAGTGAAGTTTTGTAATCTCACGTACTTCATTAGCTGAGCTACTAACTTAATATAACAGCATTTGTAGAAAGCAAGTTTTCTCCGCTGCTACAGTTTTTTAAGTTCTGTGCTTTTAGACATAAAGGGTGACAAACTGTGACAGAAGCCCATCTCAACCCCCTGCCCTGCACTGTGCCATGGATCCCACCACAGAAGTATCACTGGGAACACGGCAACCAGTGCTGCCTCACTGGGGGCAGAACACCCAACACATGCACTTACTCCAGAAAGCCAGTGAGTCAGTAATGACACAGCAGCTGTGATGTTCACCCCCTGTCATTCTGTTGACCTTTCCCCTTCAAACGAATATTCAAGCTCTAATAATTTTACTCCACAGCATTTGCTCTCAAGGATGCTACAGACAAGCCAGTTCCTGGTGTAGGTTCTGGTGATTTCTCCCTTCAGGTGCTCACAGCTGGCTGTTGGAGAAGGTAGCCAAAACACACCTGATGGTGACTATCAGCAAACTTATGTTAAAAATACACTTGATAATATCTTCACATTTAGATGAGTTAATAGGTAGTCAGGAGGTCTCTGAACATCAACACTGCTGAAACAGTTCAGCACGTTGTACCCCAACTGCCTCTTGACACACTCTGATTTAGGGGGGGAAAAAAACCGTGTTCTCTACATCAGAGCTTGCACAGGGCATTATCAGATGTTTAATGTTAATTTGTTCCCAGCAGCTCAGATGACTGATCCATGCTTAAACACTGTGCCAGTAAGCAATTAGCTTGCAGGGACACACAGGCTTAACGGCTTGTGTTAGTGAATTTTACCAGCCATTATTGAGCCACAGAGCCCAAGCTGTAGTCAAATTTCAAACCTCTTGTTTGACTGCTTGATTCAGGAAAGGTGAAACATCCCAAAAATTTCAAGATATAGAACTACAGAATCATTAAGATTGGGAAAGACCTCTAAGACCATCAAGCCTGACCATCAACCCATCACCACTAAGCCATGTCCCTACACGTCACCTATAAGTTCCTTATGCCATCAGAGATGGTGACTCCACCACTTCCCTGGGCAGCCTGTTCCAATGCCTCATCACTCATTTCTGAGAATAAATGTTTCCTAATATCCAACCTGAATCTCTTGTGGCTGTTCCCTCTCATCTTCTCACTAGTTGGGAGAAAAGGCTGACTCCTACCTCACTACAATCTCCTGTCAGGGTGTAGAGAGCAGTGAGGTCTTCCCTAAGCCCCTTCTTCTCCACATCAAACAACCCCAGCTCTCTCAGCCGCTCCCCAACACACTTGAGCTCCAGAACCCTCACCAGCTTTGCTGCCCTTTCTCTAGTTGTGCTCCATGGCCTCAATGTCTTTCTTGTCATGAGGGGCCGAACCCTAACACAGCACTTGAGGTGTGTCCTCACCAGTGCCAGTACAGAGGTGCTGGTCTTGCTGACTGCACTACTGTTGACACAAGCCAGGTACACAGAGTTGCTGTGACCAAACTGCAAGACCTGGCACTTAATCTTGTTGAAGTTCATACGACTGGCCTCAGCCCATTGATTCATCCTGTCCACATCCCTTTATAGGGCCTTCCTGGTTGAGAGGACAACCAGGTATGTAAACTGAAAACTTACTGAGGGTGCAATCAGTTCTCTCATCCAGGTTGTCAATAAAGACATTAAACAGGACTGTAAACAGATTTACTGTAAACAGTTCCTTGTATTGAAGCAAAACACATGGCTCTTAATTTGCATGTCCTTATAAATGACTTCATAAATTACAAAAACCTGCAATTTCAGAGAGGAAGTGCTCAGTCAAGACTGATTCCTCTTGGGCTATTTTTGCTCAGATGAGAAGAACATAACAGAAAAAAAAAAAAAGGAGAACAAGACAGCTGTGACTCCATCTTGTGATGACACACTTAAAAATACAGAGGCTAAATTCCATGCTTGTATAAAGATGCACACAGCTTTCATCAATTTCAAAACATATTTTGTTCACGCCTAAAAGATAATCATCCAAAGAAAATAAAATGTTGTTATTTTTAATGAACGTCTAATTCTGCTCCCTCTGAAGTCTATTTGAGAGTAACCACAGACTTGACCGTATGCTGGCTTACATCTTGAGAATATTAAAAACAAACAAAAATGAGGCAGACAAACACAATGACTAATGCCTGGAGTATGGCCATACAGAGGATGGTCGTGCCATTCGGGTTATTTCATTAACTTCCACACCAAAGGAGAATGGACAGCATTAAACCAGACAAACCTAAATTTATTCAGTTAAGAAATGCTGCTAAAGGTTTGTGGAGGAAACCAACCATGCAAGCTTCACATATGTAGCTTTACTGAGATCTGTGGCACTACACACGTCAAGCAGAATGACTGCAAAACGCAGCACATTTATAACATGCAGCAGAAAAGGCTCAAACACAGCACATGGATAAAAGGAAGAAGTACTCTGCTTTTGGCAGGAGTTCAGCAGTTCCTCTTCTGACTTCTAGCTGTGTAGTACCACACCTTATTATCTTGGTATGAATCCACAAAAGAGCTGCGGTCCAACCTGCAATCTAGGCTTGTTTCAGTAATGGCCCTAACAAAAAAATATATCCTTTATCTGGCTAGAATTCATCTTCTGTAGTTATCCATGCAAACAGAAGTGAATGAAATAATGTTTGTAAATACACCTATTTTACAGGGGGAATTAAAACTTTCGAAATTATTGCTTCACAACTCAAACACATTGAAACGAAAATAATAATATTAAGAAGATTTGAAAAGAAATGAAACTGTCTAAGGCAATTAGGGGGCTTGATACCACAAAATCCACAAAACCACAACCAGCACAATGATGAAAGAAAACTAACATCACTCACCAAGATTCTGGCAACAGGATTTATAAAATAGTACCTAAAGGCACAGGCAGACCTGGGCAGAACTGGCTGTCCAACCAGCAATGGGGTACAATAACTAGCAGATCCTTTCTTTACAAATTTGTGCACAGCTTCTCTAGGAGAGATCATGATTCCCCAACCTAACAAATCATTGCCTTTAAAATGATTCTTTACTCTCTTACCTAATAGCAAAAAGAGAAACCCAGTACAGTCCCACTGCGGGCACAAATCATGAACTCCTTCCAACCCAGCTGGCCAACCCAAGCAGCTCATGCTACACCAGAGCTAGGGCTGTCCTGGACTCACAGATCTTTGTTGCTGAAATCAAGGCACCTCATTGGGTTTCTGCTGAATAAGAGAAGAACTTG